ACATTCGGGGGGATCAGGTTGCAGCCAAAGAGTGTTATTCCGTCACACTAAAGTATGCTGGGAAAGGGAAGGCGCCCGTCCGTTCGGCAAGCCCCAGATAGCAATTACAGGAACCTCCGCCCGAGCAGAACAGGGTGGAGGAGTCAGTCGACTTGACCGAGGAGCCCCTTCTGGATATGCAGATCGATCAGTCCAGGCCAGAACGAACTACCAGAGTAGGTATAAGACTGACCAGAGAAGAGCAGCAAGAGCTAGTGGATTTCTTGTCCCACAATGCCGACGTATTTGCATGGAGTCACCTAGACATGCCTGGAATTAGTCCCTCCGTATCCTGTCATTCCCTGAATGTCAATCCCAATTTCAAACCAGTGAAACAGAAGCAGCGAAGATTTGCTCCAGAACGTAATCAAATCATAGCGGAAGAAGTCAATAGGCTGCTTGATGCGGGATTTATCAGAGAAGTGCACTACCCTGATTGGTTGTCCAACGTCGTTGTCGTGCAGAAGAAGAATGGGAAATGGCGAGTATGCATTGATTTCACCAATTTGAACAAAGCCTGTCCGAAGGACAGCTTCCCGCTGCCTAAGATTGATCAAATGGTGGATGCCACCACCGGGTATGAGCGTTTAACCTTTCTGGACGCTTATTCAGGTTATAATCAGATCCCTATGGACCCCGCAGATGAAGAAAAAACTTCTTTTGTCACCGAGCGAGGAACATACTGCTACAAAGTTATGCCTTTCGGACTAAAGAATGCGGGAGCAACTTATCAAAGACTTGTTAGCAAAATTTTTAAGAATCAAATGGGAAAGATTGTGGAAGCCTATATTGATGATATGGTGGTAAAGAGTAGGAAGAAGGATGATCATCTAAAGCATCTGCAAGATGTATTTGATGTACTGAAGCGATATGGGATGAGGCTCAATCCAACCAAGTGCTCGTTCGGTGTGAGTTCCGGACAGTTTCTGGGACACGTGGTCAACCGCAGAGGCATCGAAGTTAGCCCCGCTCAAGCAGAGGCTTTGATTAAGAATGCCGAGCCAAAGACGATCAGAGAGGTGCAAGCCCTCACAGGACGAATAGCTGCATTAAGTCGATTTATTTCAAAATTGTCAGATCACTGCAAGCCGTTCTTTGACACGATTCGGAGCCATGGAAGGCAGGTCTGGGGGGATGAGCAACGACAAGCATTGACTCATTTGAAGGAATATATGCAGAATCCACCAGTCCTGTCAGCCCCAGATCCGGAAGAAAAGTTATTTCTATATCTTGGAGTATCTGGTGTCGCGACAAGTGCCGTTCTGATTCGTTGCAAGGAAGGAGTGCAATACCCGGTATTTTATGTAAGCAAAACAATGACAGAGGCAGAACAAAGATACTCAAAGGCCGAACGGGTGGTACTTGCACTTGTAAATGCAAAAAGAAAGTTGAGGCATTATTTCGAATCCCACCCCATAGCTGTTCTAACAACTTTTCCAATCAGAACGCTTATGGACAAGCCAGAGCTCTCGGGCAGAATGACAAAGTGGGCCATAGAGTTGAGTTCATTTGACATAACGTATGAGCCGAGAACAGCTGTTAAAGGGCAAGCGGTGGCCGATTTCCTGCTAGAATGTGATGCCGAGGATACGGAAGAAGACCTTAGATGCGGCTCTTGGAAACTTTTTGTGGATGGCTCCTCTAACCAGATGGGGGCTGGAATTGGGATCAAACTGCAAACCCCAGAGGGTACTTCCTTGAGTCAAGCACTCAGACTTGAGTTCCGAGCCACCAATAATGAAGCGGAATACGAGGCGTTGCTAAATGGATTAAAGTTGGCCAGAGAGCTACATATCAAAAGTTTGACTGTGTATAGTGACTCGCAGCTGATTGTTCGGCAGGTAAATGGTGAGTACGCGACCAAGGATGACACGATGGGGGCATATCGTTCTGCCGTTCTGCATAAAGCCAAGGACTTTGCAAAGATTGAATTCATACAGTTACCGAGGGAACAGAATGCAGATGCGGACCGGTTAGCATGTAGTGCTTCGAGTTCCGGTGAAACATTGGCGAGGGTGATTCCAGTAGGAATACTGACCCGGCCATCTATTTTCGAAGAACCCTTGGACTCTGACCCTTGGCAAGTCAACGTCATACCGTATGAACCGAGTTGGATTGACCCCATCATTACCTATATTCGAGATGGCGTTTTGCCTATGCAGAGGGATGAAGCTAGGAGACTCAAAAAGAATGCTGCAAAGTACGCCATCGTGCGTAACCAGCTGTACAGAAGGTCCTACTCTGGCCCATACTTGAAGTGTGTCACCCCCGCGGAGTCGCAGCAGGTATTGCGAGCTATTCATGAGGGTGTGTGTGGCAATCATTCTGGGGGGCGATCGTTAGCGCATAAAGCAATGACACAAGGGTATTTCTGGCCATACATGTCAAGAGATGCGGAGGAGTTCTCTCGAAGGTGCAATAAATGCCAACGATATGGACCATTGATCCACCAACCACCTGAGGAATTGCACGTAATGGCCTCGCCATGGCCTTTCGCGCAATGGGGGATGGATGTGGTCGGTCCTCTGCCAACTGCAAGAGCTCAGAACAAGTATGTGTTACTGGCCACGGATTACTTCACTAAATGGGTGGAAGCAGAACCATATCCTAGCGTGACTTAGACTTATGTGAGACGATTTATTTGGAACAATATTATCTGCCGTTTCGGCGTTCCCAGATCAATAGTCATGGACAATGGCACAAACCTCGACAGCAGGCAAGTAAGAGAGCTGCTGGAGGAGTATGGAATCAACCAGAAGTTGGCCGCAGTAAGTCATCCTCAGGCCAACGGACAAGCAGAAATCACAAACAGAACCATTTTCGCCTGCATTAAGAAGAAGCTGGAAGACCATAAAGGGAAGTGGTTGGATGAACTCCCGAACGTTCTATGGGCTTACAGAACCACCCCAAGGCGGCCGACTGGGGAGAGCCCGTTTGCAATGGCATATGGTACCGAGGCAGTTATACCGGTTGAGCATTTGGTCCCCACTATCAGAAGCTTAGCATGGAGTCGAGATCAGAACGACAAGATGTTAAGATTGAACCTCGATATGATAGACGAAAGGAGGGACACAGCGGCTATAAGGTTAGCATCGTATCAGCAAATATTGGCGAATAGTCACAACAAAAGAGTAAAACACAGGGATTTTGCCCCTGGCGATCTGGTTCTGAAAAGAAAGGTGGGGATGGTCAAAAAAATGATGCCACCCTGGGAAGGCCCATACAGAATTGCAGAAGTCATAGGCAAGGGGGCATATACGTTGGAAACCATGGCGGGAAGGTTGGTCAGCAAGCCCTAGAACGCCACGTCTCTGAAGAGGTACTACCAATAAAAGCTAAGTTTCGGCTTTAATTGGATGTTGTTTGTTGTCAATCAAATACGTACGAATGTGCAAGTTACTGAAATTTACAAAAAATAACTTTCTTTTCCAACGGCCTACTAAAAAATGAAAAGCCAAGTGGCAAGTGGCATTCTAGCCGAGCGCCAGGCACTTAAGCAAGATAAGTGGCAGCTGGCACCATAAGCCGAACGCCAGACACTTGCTAAAAATTTTAAGCCAAGTGGCAAGTGGCATTCCAGCCGAGCGCCAGGCACTTAAGCAAGATAAGTGGCAGCTGGCACCATAAGCCGAACGCCAGACACTTGCTAAAATTTAAAGCCAAGTGGCAAGTGGCATTCTAGCCGAGCGCCAGGCACTTAAGCAAGATAAGTGGCAGCTGGCACCATAAGCCGAACGCCAGACACTTGCTAAAAATTTAAAGCCAAGTGGCAAGTGGCATTCTAGCCGAGCGCCAGGCACTTAAGCAAGATAAGTGGCAGCTGGCACCATAAGCCGAACGCCAGACACTTGCTAAAAATTTAAAGCCAAGTGGCAAGTGGCATTCTAGCCGAGCGCCAGGCACTTAAGCAAGATAAGTGGCAGCTGGCACCATAAGCCGAACGCCAGACACTTGCTAAAAATTTAAAGCCAAGTGGCAAGTGGCATTCTAGCCGAGCGCCAGGCACTTAAGCAAGATAAGTGGCAGCTGGCACCATAAGCCGAACGCCAGACACTTGCTAAAAATTTTAAGTCAAGTGGCAAGTGGCATTCTAGCCGAGCGCCAGGCACTTAAGCAAGATAAGTGGCAGCTGGCACCATAAGCCGAACGCCAGACACTTGCTAAAAATTTAAAGCCAAGTGGCAAGTGGCATTCTAGCCGAGCGCCAGGCACTTGCCATAAACAAACACACGGCAAAGCTAATATAAAAGAAAAGAGAGAAAAGATATATATGTATTGAAAATAGGTTGGACAGAGCACAACACAAAGGGAAAAAGAGTTCTGTCATTTCATTGATATTAAGCATTGAGTTTACAAAAAGTGAGATGTCCATCGTTACAAAAAGATATGGAATCGAAGAGTCCGAAGGAGCCCTAGCTAGACGCCTCAGTACCAACAGCATCCTGGTTGTGCCGACCCGCCTCCTCGGCCCCATCAGCCGTCTCACCTTCACGAGGCGGAGAATCAAGATGAATGACTGAATCGTTCGGCTGGGGCTCAGCGTCAGCAGTGGCTATGGAAGGTACCACAGTTGACGATTGAGGAGCGGTCAGAGGCAGAGCGGTAGGAGGAGCTGTGATGATCCTTGAGGAAGCAATGTCCTGGCACTCATCGAATATGCGCTCCGCTTCGGTGGGTTCTGGGTCGACATAGACCCCTAGAGGTTCGATCCCTAGATCCTTGTCGACCTCATCTGGGGTGGAACTGGTCTGTCCCTCATCCGGAACTCGGTCGGCGAAACCTTCCCGGAATCCTTGAGCATATCTAAGAGCACCGACCCTTGAGAACCGAGCGTGAAGAGCCAGCATCCCACCGCTCACTCTGCTGATCGCATCGATCAGAGCGGTACGCTCGTCCAGAGCTCTTTTCTCAAAAGCCATCCGAGCAGACTGTTCATCAGCCAGAAGGCGCTGGAGTTCTGCCTTTTCGTTTCTGATTGAGTCACGCTCAGTCTGCCAGACGCTCTTTTCAAGCTGGAGGGCATCCTTCTCATCCTGAAGAGAGTCATTCTCCTTCTTCAGGACATCTCTCTCTTGTTCAGTTTTTTCAAGCCGAGCCAGTACCTCGGTATTCTTCATGGCGAGAAGGTCGTTTTCTTTATTAGCCACCTCCAGGCTATCAGAAAACTTACGAGCCCTGGCGTTCCCCATCTCCACCTGCTTCTGCATAGCCATCATTCCGAACAATGTCTGCATAGGTGTACATTAAGAACGGTTAAGCCAATAGTCAGGTCGGGCGAAGGCAAGACCAAATAATATGAGAGAATTCATGAGTTGGAAAATAAAAGTCACCTCCATAGCAGATTGGGGAAAGCGGCTGAACACATCCTTCTGGGATAGGCCCTTTGCCGCCTCAAGGTCTTTCGGAGTCCACATGCTCCTATAGTACGCCATGGCGGTCTGGCCATCCTTCAGCATGGTCTCGTTCGGTTTCAAGAACGTCCCATCCGTTCGGGTGTACCGAGGGGCCCATGGCGGTAAGGTGGGGATAGAAGGGGGGCCTGAAGCAGAAGCGGAGCCACCAACTGCAGTAGGCCCAGAGGGAGCAGAAGCTCTGATCGCACGATGCAAGAGAGCACCCGGCCCGGAGACCCGGGTCCTTCTTATGAGAGGTTCCTCCTCAGGATCGACTTCACTGTCAGGATGAGGCCTTTTGCCTCGTTCTTTATCCCGAACGCCCCCCGCGGCAACAGGAGCTGTGGTAATTTGGGGAGACGCGCTCGGGTTGGTAGCAGGGGTGCTGACAACGGAGTTAATAGCCACTGTGCTCGGGATAGTGTCAGAGATTGTGGCTGAGGAAGAGGCTGATGCTGGAGAGGAGGTCGCCCCAGCAGTAGGAGTGGCTGGGGGAGTATTTTTCTTCCTGCCAAAAGAAGGAATCTGAAGCCTGCTCATGTTGTAGCCGAGTGATGAGAGCGCTAAGAGGTTGTCTGAAGTGAGGAGATCTGAGCAGGAAGGAATATCGTTCAGAACGTATTTCTTCAAGTAATTACTCCTATCCCTGCAAACACTGTAGCTCAAGTCATCACAAGGTATTCCTAAGGAACAGCATAAGAAAGTACAAAAACGGGGAACGCATGTTTCGCAGGGGCAATCATGTTTATGAGATTTGAATTTCTTATAGGAGGAAACAGAACAGACACCAAAGGCGCTCGGGATTGGGTAACCCTCTGCAGCCGGCGAAGACCAAGCCCCACTAATGCCCACGATGCTATCCCTCCAACCCTTTTCAGATTTTATTGTGTCCGTACATATGGACATCTTCTCGAACGGGTAGAGGTGGTAGAAGGGTTCATTAGTACGGATCTTACTGACCTTATAACACAGAAGAAGGTCTATGAGGTCAAGGTCCAGATTTCTGTCACGCATCAACAGGAGCATAACGGATATGATTCTAAAGAAATTGGGGTTTACCTGCAGGGGGGATATCCCCAATCTATTGAAGACATAACTAAAGAAAGGGTGCAGAGGGAACCTAACGACATTCAATTGAAGGTTCGTGAATAAGACTTCGCCGGGCAGGAGGCCGGCACCGGTCATAATGTTAACGTCCTGAGGGCAAACCCTAACCTCGATGTTGTCAGGAAGTCTAAGTCTCATACGAAGAACATCCAGATCTACAACCATGGTGGAAGTGCTTGAAGGATCTAAAAGGGGGTAAATAGAAGCCTGCCGAAAGTAAAAAGGAACAAAACTAACCTCAGAGGACTGCAAGATCGCTGGAAGAATGACTCTTGAAGGATTTCACCAGAAAAAGCTTAGCACTGTTCTAGAAAGAGAGAGATTTGACTGATGATGGAGACGGTAAAAAGACGTGAAGTGGTATTCTAGAGCCTTATAAAGGCGAGGGGGGCCCGAGGGCCGAAGCGTCAGGAAGGCGAGAAATTCATCGAGCCCCGGAACATTGATTCTGGATCTGACCGTCCGTTCCCCCACGTGGTTTTCTCGAGCCGTCAACGTCATGATGAGACGCCATCAATAATTACCCCCTTATTAAATAAGGGGCAATTATGGGGGCAGTTGAGGAGGCCCAGGACGACATGGGCCGGATCTGACTTGCAAGCACTACATCCGGTCCGTACAGCTGGGTCGGCCCATAAAAAGACACTGCCATATGGGCCGAACGCGAATAAGCCCATCAAAGGTGACCAGGACTTATGGAGGAACGGGCCCAGATCCAGCAATCCGTCAATATTTGTAAATATCTTGTAAATATCTATAAATAAGGGAAGGAATGGAAAGAATGGGAGGATCTTGTTGTTGAAATGTAAGAATTCTAGAGAGAGAAAGAGAGTATGAATTTCTTGCATCTTTACTCCTATTTAATCCAAAAGGGTTGGATCAATCTCAATCAAACACTCCCTCACCCCACCCCCTTATCCTCTCTCTCTCTCTCTCCATCAACACCGCCACGGGGACCGCTACGGTGCTACCAACCTTATATATATATATATATATATACACACACACACACACACACTACTAATTTTTAATATTTTAAAATGTATATTAAATTTTCAATTTAATTTAATAAATTATATATGTTTTTTCAGTGCGTATAATATTTAATTACAAATTTTTTAATATGTTTACGTAATTATAATTTTTAGATTTTATATAGTTCACACATTGAATTTAAAATTGTCATATTATTATGAATTTTTATAAACTACCGAAAAAATATATTTCTTTTGACTTATATTACCAATCTATATAGAATAAAGACAAGGATAATGATGACGATGAATATTAAAATATATTAAATAAATTTTATACAATATATAACTTATATTTTGCAAATTAATAAATTTTTTACTTTAACTTTTTTATTTATTTATTACAACTTATAATTTCTCGGTGTCATTGTACATCCTTACCTCAATTATATGGACAAATATTATAAATTGAGTTGGCTGCATTAATTTCTTTTCTCCATTCTATATAAATATCCATTATGGTCATTTCTAATAAACTCAACCAATATTAATTTCAGTTGTCCTTTTTATCTTTTACCTCCTATACAAACTGTAATTGTTCTCTCTTTGCTAGTTTATCTATATATAAATCTTCATTTTATATGTTAATATCAACTAAATTTATTTTATAAAAAATATTCAATACTTTCTTTCTCACGCTTTAATTACTCATTATTGTTCGTCGTATCGATTAATACGCGACCTATTAGTTGATTTGTAATTTTTTTTAAGAGTTTGATATCGTTATACATTTTTATATATAAACTAACTAATTTATATTAATATTCGTTCACAAAATTGTGAACGATACCGCGACGGCAAAGTATGACATCCTTACTTGTTGGGGGGTCACTTTTACCATACATTTTATGAAATATTATTGAAGTTAATTTGTACACACATAATATTACTACATTCACATAAAAAATAAAATTACTGTGACCATATTTCGAACTCATGATTTTTTTATCACAATAAAATAACTTTACTACCCTGCAGTCTTTCTCATATTTAATTGGTTGATGATGATCAATTTGTCATGTACTAGTGATTTTCTCTCTCTATGATTTATTTCTCACCCTAGTGAGAGAAAGAGGGAGATGTCATGGAGGTGATGGGTATCGTCATCTTTTCCGTGATAGGTAAGTGGTCATGTCATCGTTTTGACAAAAGCAGAAGGTCCACCCTCTATGAGTTTTCGATTTTTCATTGGCTCGTTGGTACGATAATCATTCTGGCAATATTGTGCGGTCCCCAACATTGTACGGACACCACCCATTTACAACAGTCACATAGTACACAGTAATTACACCCCACACATGGTCACATGTATATATATATATATATATATATATATATATATATATATCATATTGCGTAATTATATATATTCAAGGATGATGGTTCGAAAACCTAACCCATTCAACTGTAAAAGTAGAAACTTTTGTTTCTACCATCAGTAACCAAGAACAGTAACATATAACAAAATTGAGTACAGAACTCTCTATCTTATCAGTTATAAAGAGAATGCATTGAGCGAGTTTGGTATCGGCTCATCCAAGTTATATATGCACGATATAAAGAGAATGCATTGAGCGAGTTTGGTATCGGCTCATCCAAGTTATATGTGCACGATACTTGTTTGTGCATATACAATATTTATAAAATTGAATGAGTTCGATACACAATAGGCCAAGCACACTCAATATTTATTCTAATTTTTAAAGAGTTAGATCGTTTTTGAGGGTGTACCATATTCAGCAGATTCCAAATTCTCTCACGTGCACATTTAACGAATCCAACTCTTGCTCGAATGCCACAAGTAAGTCATTGATGATAAAAATAAAAATAAATATTAAGTGTGCCAGACGTACCGTGCAAAAGAACCTTAACTTCATTTTAGACTCCATTCGAATCAATTTTGCACCTGTAAACTTCTACACGTGTGCGGCACAAGATCCCAGCTCCACTACTAGTACTGTAGAGGTTGGTTTTATCCTTTATATTCCTGTTACGAACTAGGGCCTAATTCTGATTTGAAGTCTCTGTTGTGGGTTTACCAAAACAAGCAAAAGAATGAAGCTTTGTTCATTTATAGTCTTTTAATATTAGTATTACTTTTTCTTTTTGTTGGGGTGGGGTTTGAATAAGTTAAGAAAAGCAAAAAAAGGTGAGAAGGGGTGGTAACCGTGGTATATGAATAAGGAAAGTCTCTTTCTCTCTCTACACTTTCTCACTCTAGACATATGTGATGCTATGTGATGATAAGTACCCCACAACACAGGATTTAAATCAATCAATCACTGCACCTACTACTACCTCTCTATTAACCTTTTTAGGTCACCTGGACTGGGTTTTTTCCTCACTTATTCTTTTTCTCAGATTTGTCATTTCCTTTATTTGGCCTATTGTTGACTTACTTGTGCTTCTCCTCTTCACTCCACCACAACAAACTACTGCTTTCTGGGGTTTTTCCTATTCTGTAAGATTTCTTTCTATGTTAATGTTCCCCTTGCATGTATATATACACACACACACATATAATTCTCACACTTATATACATACACATATATATGTATTGAGAAAATAATCTCTTGATGTTGTTTCGAGCTTCATTTTGTTCTGGGTTTTTGCCTTATCTGTAAGATTTCTGTATTCTTCTCATATATATACAGATATATATACAAATGTATTATATTACACATTGATAGCTTCTTGTATCATTTTGTTGATCTGGGTTTTTGCCTAATCTGTAAGATCTCTTATGTTTCCCTTAGATATACACACACAATTCTACACTTACATATACACACACATATGTAAATGATCTATTGACAACTTCTTGTAATAAAATTAAATTATTCTTTATGCTGTTTAAATTGTTTCTCTTTCTTTGAGCTTGATTTTGATATGGGGTTTTTTCATATTTTGTAGGATCTGTATGTTTCTTCTAACTCACACACACACATAATACTTAATTGTATTGGAAAAGTCTTGATGGTATTTATTTGTTTGATTTCTTCTATGTGATCGATACTGAGCAGCTTCATTTTCTTCTTGGCTATCTATACATAATACATATATATATATATGTATGTAATTTAGGTGTTGAGATGGTGAGAGGGAAGACTCAGATGAGGCGTATAGAGAACGCCACAAGCAGGCAAGTCACCTTCTCCAAACGCAGAAATGGGCTGCTAAAGAAAGCATTCGAACTTTCAGTTCTCTGCGACGCCGAGGTTGCTCTTATCATCTTCTCTCCTAGGGGAAAGCTCTATGAATTCGCCAGTTCAAGGTATATATATATATATATATCTCTCTATAGTTGCTGAAAATTGTTTATATTCTGATCACTATTCAACGCATTAAGTACTTGATCATTTATGTGTGTGAATAAATTTGTATATAGAAGTGTGGTTATATACTATTTTACACCATAGCTAGGGTTTATAAGAAATGGACCTCCCCTTGGTTTGCAATCGGGTCTAGCTCACTTTTTGTTTTGTTGACTCCATAGGTGTCATCTTACAGATACTTTGTTTATTATTAATCCATCAACATATGTTGAGAAATAGGGGGAAATAAATTATACCCTAGTACTGAATTTAATGCTTCTATTTATTTATTATTTTTATTTTTCAGATTTGTTAAAATACTTGGTATAATATATGCTTTCTAAACAGCTAGCTTTCTAGGCTTCATGGGTTTTGTTCCTTATGTGTTTTGTCTCATAGATCTTCATATGATTCTCTGTGGTGTGTGTGTTTTTTTTGCTTTGATACTTCCAATTTTTGTTTACTATATGTGGATGAGTGTGTATATGTACATCAAGGGATTTCTGAATTAAATACATTTGGTTGTAAGTGAGAAAATAGAAATTAATAATTTAATATAAAATTTGTACTTTTTTTTTTTTTGTTTTTTTACAAAGCAACAAAGGTTAGAAGTTAGATTAGTAAATGTAAAGAGTCGAAGTCACTCTCAAAATCCACTGAAGGCGCTAATCACACTATCAAGATATCGAATCAAATTTGTACTTCTTTTGAACTATATGACTATAAATATATATTTATTATATGGGGAAAAGTATGAATGGATTGGTAGTACTTCCACGTTCTATTACTGTCATGTTTTTACTACACGTATACCTAATACCTTTAAAGGACACGGATCTTTATACATTGTTTCCTATTCTCAGATATTTTATCCAATGGATAGATGCTTTATATGATTATATATACTTTCAAAGTAATTAACTAAACAATAATTTAATATGCTAAAATAGAAGCTTAAACACTATTATTTCAATTTTCAACGCACTACAAGAAGAAAAATCCTAGGAACATCCTAATTTGAGTGTGTGCATCGATATTACATGGGTGTTGCATCTTTGACGTAGTTTACTATATTTTGAATTTAAATTGTATTGGACCATTCCATACACCGAAGAGTGTTAGGACAAACCAAAATGAATCACGAATTACATTAGAAATTGTAAAAATGCCACACAAAAAGAATGATTTACGTAGTTCGACTTAAGTCTAATGCCTACATAGAGTGAAGATCTGACGAAAAACTTCATTATGCCAAAAAGTTTCAATATGAGAAAACTATGGCTTTCACTCTCTAAACGCCCTTGTATATTGAGTTACAAGAGAGTTCTAAATAGGGCTCAAGACCTGCAAGCAAAAGACGAGTCAAAAAAATTCTCTCATTTTTTGAGTTGAAATTGGATTGCAACCCAACCCGAGATGAAATAAAATTCAGACCACAACGTCACAAATACATCCCGATTCATTGAGAAAACCTACTCAATCAGTGGGGATATCTAATTTATTACTCCTCCATCCCCAAATAAATGTTGCCTATGACACCCTCACTTTTTTCTCCTCCTTGAGAATTACAATACTAACCCAACCAAGTTAAAAAAATTACAATAGTGATTTGACTAAAGTATCCCAAGAAAGAAGGTGGACAAGCTGGCATGATGTCTTTTGTCGTTTCTAGTGCTGGATGTATTTTTTGCTGCTCAATGGAGCTTAAGTAACATTCCTGTTTGCTTTATGGGCACTCTCGATCTTGATTCAAAGTGTGTTATTACCACTCTTATCAACTTGGAGGTTTATTGTGGCAGTCTCATTTTTTCCAGCTACAGTACTGTTGATCTCTCCCTCTTAGTCGGAATACTATTTGTATCAACTTTTCTTTGTTTTCTCCTCTGGAATTACTACATATCCTAGCAACCTTAGGCCTTGTTTTGTTTGGCTATTTAGTTCCCCTTGTTAAGGGTTAAGGCTTAAGCCTTTATATATTTGTTTGTCTTTTTATATTCATTTTCGTCATCTTATTTTTAATTCCATATGAATAGGGTCGGCCACATAAATTTTATGTCTTTTAATCTTTTCAATTTTATGTCACTTCACTTATTATATTTCACTTTTTAAAGTCATTTTTAATGATCTCATTTCATATTATATTTTGTCAGTCTCTCTATTTCTTACCTTCTATGACAACTAGTCTTCCTATTTGACTAGCACGTCCATCCCTAACTCCCATGTATGTGTTGAAACGACCCAAGTCTACTTTCTCTAATTTCTTTTCACCAATGTATGCCGCTTCTAATTCTCTCACACTTTCATTAGTGACCCTATAAATGGATCTCTTCTAGTCTCTCCTCTCATCCATCATAGCATTCTCAGTCTTGCAATATAATTGGTATAATAATGGTCCTATAGAATTTTCTTCTAAGCTAAGAGTTATTCTTTTATCACATAAAATCCCACTAGTTTAGTCCAACCTACTCTAATTTTACTAATTAATTATATCAATAACTATCTCTCCATCTTTTTGTATTATTGACCCTATATAGCGAGAGTAGTTATTTGGCTAATCTTTTGGTCTTAAAGTGTTATCAATATCCAAGTCTTTATTTAATTTACTTCATATACTTGTTTTAGTTTAACTAATTTTCAATCCTTTTTGATTTTAAAACATTTCACCACATTTCTACTTTTATTGCTAATTTATCTTTAGAGAGGTAAGAGTTATAGAAGAGCATGATACCATATACAAACATCATGTACCATAGAATCTCATTTTGGAAGTCTTTTGTTATCTCATCTAAGATTATTGCGAATATATGGGATTAGCTCCGATCCTTGGTGCAATCCTACATTTACGGAGAACTCAGTAGTTTCACCACACTTGGTACGTACTTTAATTTTTGTGTTCATCCACATATCTTGGATATTTTTATGATTTGTAAAGGAATTTGTTATCTTCATAGTTACCACCAAATTATATCTTTTGGAATCCAATCATATGTTGTTGTTTTTTATTTTTTATTTTTTTTAAAAAAAAAAAAAAAAAATCCATAAAATTAATACGGAAGTCTTGTTGCTTACTCACATATTCTTCAACTAGTTGTCTAACCAGATATATAACTTCCTTTGTTTATCTCATTCGACATGAATTCGAATTGGTTATGGGATACCATGGATTCCTTTTTTTGTTTTATTACCTTTCCCATATATTCATTGTGATTCAATAATTTAATTCTTCTATAGTTGTCACAATTTTGTATATCTCCTTTATTTTTGTAAATTGGTACTATTGTACTTTTTCTCCACTCATTTGTCATCATGCCTTGTATTTATTGTTAAACAACTTTGTTAGCCACTCAATTCCTATGTTACCTAATGTTCTCCAAGTTTAAATGGGTAATATTATGTGGGCTTACGGCTTTATTATTCCCCTTCTTTTTAAGTGTGTCCTCTATCTCCTTGTTGGTATTTTTATTTACCATTCCTATATTAAATTCATTTCCTTCAAAGTCGGTACTCCTCATTTAATAGATGTTGAACAATATTTTTTTATCTAATTAATATATCATTTTCTTTGATTAATATTGTGTTATCTATGTTCTTAATTAACATATCTAATTTGGTTTAGGTTTTTATTTGGTCTATCTTGATTTTTTGTTGATTTACAAATATTTTTTCACGTTTTTTGTGCCTAGTTTTTCATATAAGACATTTGTGAGCCCCTCCCTTCCTCTTTGGAGATGAGAAAGTTATACCATTGTGTTAGAAGCCCTTTTGTAAGCTTTGCTTACTATCTTCTTTATTTCACATTTGAGTTTATTACACATGATTAAATCTTCTTGTTGCTTAATTTTTACCCTGCTTTAAAACGTTCTCTCTTTTTCTTTTCTTTTTTTAATTATTTGTAACACTTCCTCACTCCACTGCAATGTATCTTTAAACATCTCTCCTTTGGTTTTTCCTTATGCTTTGTTCGGTAAAAAAGAATGAAGAGGTGTAGAAGGAAGATAGGAAGGAAGGAACAAATCGTTTAGTAGAATGGAGACAAACAGAGAAATGATAGTATATAGGAGGGATGGGTCATCCTTCATCCTTTACAGATTTTCGTCTCTCTAAATAGGGGCAGAAAAGAGGAGGGAAGACAAGTGGGGCTATTATAGAAGTTTTAAATTACTACTATCCTAAATTAAAACTCCCTCTTTCTTTCTCGAACATAGTAAATTATGACATTATTCTCTTCTCTCCCATCAAATCGAACAAAAAGAGGAAAGTACACATTCTTTTATCTAGGAATGTCTCATTCATCTCTTATTTTCTTCCTTCTATCCAAATTTTTTGTTTACTACTGAACGAAGCATCAAACTTCTTTCACCTTAATTATTCCATTATAATTTTCCATTTTGAGCCCCAAATTATTTAGCTCATCATTCCAATCCCATTACTTTCTCTTTAATATTTGTTTTTTAAAGCTGATCACTTACATGTAAGTATATGATCACAGATACTGCTTAGGGTTTACCAAAAAAAAAAAAAAAAAAAAAAACGTTAAAATCTTTTCATGCAAGTACATGATCATATTAGGCTAAAATAGTAAAAAGTATAACATTAGAAACTAGTGTCTTTTTGTTGAAATGTATGGTCATTGACTATATACCATAACCATAGGTTTAAGGTCCGTTTGGCATGCTAGATGTTTTAGGCGTTATTGGTTAATACTAAAACAACTGTTTTGTTATAGGAGTGTTTTGGGTAGAAATCAGAACCATGGTCGGTAACGAGAATTTGTTTTGGGAAATTAAAAAATTTGTTTTAGTTCCTCCGCTACAGTACCAAAACACACAATATCACTAATTTGGTGATATGGATTTGGCCCAAAAATTCTGATATGTTATGAACTATTTTAAACCAATATCAGCCGTCCCAAACATGATATGGACCCAAATTTAAAGACCAATATATAAAAAATCAATATCATAACACATTTCAAATAGGCCCTTACTATTTTTGTTTCCAGTAAGTATAGGTTTACTATTTTTGTGTGTATATATATACACACACGCTTGTTAGAAAACTTTAAACTCATCTCATTGAGTTTTTATAAGTCCGGATGTCCAACTAGTCAGGTTAGTGTAAGTAGTGATTTTTGATGCATGTGGCGGGTAGATTAGTGTTTTTTTGAAACCTATACATATTTATTAGTAATCTAGTCAATTTTCAAAAAGAATAAAACTAATTTCTAGGTGTTTCTCCCTTTCTTTTTTTAAAAAACTAAATTTTCTATAAAAATTAAGAGTTATAGTATAATTATATTTTTCACCTTTTCAATATAAGAAATACGGAGAGTTCAAGTCGAATTTCAAATGAAAAAACAAAAAGTTTAGCAAAAGGTAAATTATATTGAGAGAAAAGCCGTACACAAATAAGGTCATACCACCATGAAACCTTCGAGCCTAACCTACATATCACACACAAAAAAAAAAATTTAAGTCACAAAAAGTGTAGAGGTGAATGTAGGAGCGCATATGGAGCAGATTGGCACCCATTTAGAAAAATATTAGGAATATGAAGGTAAGCCATGGATTTGCTGTCCTTAGTAGGAAGGTTGTGATGGAGAAAGAACCTGATGGAGATGGAAGACAAAACAATTTATCATTCTTTGCCCTGAATCAGATATTCTGATTCACCATTATTTATTAGGACATATAATAATTGTGAAGTTATCACAAAATTGCATATGAAGGTGATGATTCAATACAAGTGATCGATCATGTCAAACAAGCTAAACATAAGACTATTACAATTTAGAGAGCCTTTTGCTTCTGTTCAATACCACTAGTCCACAGTGGCCTCAAGTTACCACTAGGTTGATATACCAGTTTATGAAGAGCCTATAAAATGCTATAGAGTTGAACAAACCAGATGTCATTTTTTACCTAGAGAAGAATATCCCATTGTCCAATTTGTTTAATTCTGAGGGGTGACATGAAAAAATTACTTTTTTATATTATTTTTATGTTTCCGACAAGGAACAAAAAAAGAAAATTATAAATCAGATTATATATGAATGGAAGGACTAGATTTATGCAGATTTAGTCACCACTGATATTTTGTGGTTCTTATTATTATTATTATTATTTTTTTGAGAAACTTTTCTTAGGTTATTATATACGCAGTTCAAAAGAGTCACTTATTTCTTGCCATGTAACTCTATGAAAAAAAAAAAAAAAAAACACCAGCTCATACTTATAAGATTGTATCACTTTTTGTAATGGATAGGTCAATGTCTAGTTTTGGTTATTAAGTTATTCACTATATGTCTAATAAATGCATTTTTTTTTTTTTTACATTTTATTTCTATTTCAGATTATCCTACAAATTTATCTAACATGCTTATTTAATTGAAGAAACCTTTATTTATTCATACTTGAGGTAATCAAGTAATTTGGGATTCATTTGTAACGCAGTAGAGGCCAGATTTAACCAAATAATCTTCAGTTTTATGTTTTAGTTTTATTGAGCTTCTTCAGTTTTATGTTTTAGTTTTATTGAGCTTTTTGTGGTTGATCATCTTAACTTAAAATCTTTATAATTTTGTGTGATTATTGTGTAGAATTAATTTTGTATTTTATTTAAGGCTAAAATAAGAAAAATAAATGAATTACATTCATGTTGGATTTGAAATGCTTCAGCATGCAGGAGACAATAGAACGCTATCAGAGGCACAAGAAAGATGTTCGAACTGTCAACACATTAATGGAACAAAACATGCAGGTTATGCCTCCTATTTTAATCACACCAATTTTCTCTTCACAAATTATGGTATACTACATCAAAACCTAGGTTAGAAGTTTAGCATACAAATTTTTTTACTACAAGATATATTTTGTCTTCATTATTAGATATTTGTACATCATTTTTATATATTTCTCCACACTCCCAAATCACCTTAAGTGGTATCACCTTATTTTCCGTTTTGGTTGATTGTACTTCTTGCCATTGTTGGTTTGAGATGGTCGTTAAAAGCACTCGAAATGAAATTTTGATTGTTATTAAAATTGTTGAATGATTAAATATTAAGGTTATATCTTCTCTAACAGCTTAAATTTTCGGAGTAGATGGTAGTAAACATGGTAGCAGAGCAAGTAAGGTCCTGGGTTTAAAAAAAAAAAAAAAAACACCATTCAAAAGGTCTCATTGCTTTACAGACCATGAGTATCAATCCGATCTCAGGTGCTGAGCATATTCACCCTTGCCAACGGTTTTAGCTTTTCTAGTTATTCTTTTTCTAGAAGTTGTAACTGAGTTTTTTGTACCATAGCACAAAAACATATATGCTTGTGATTCATTTGGTTGCCAAGAAGCATCCAAAAGTTCTTCTCTCTTTTTTATGGTTTTTCATTTTTTACGCACCTTCTTGAGAAATGAAAAACCTTAGTGAATTTGAGTTTTCTCACAATTTCGACTTGAAATGCCAGCATTTGCAGCACGAGGCAGCAAACATGGCAAAGAAGATAGAGCATCTCGAAGTTTCAAAACGGTTCAAACACTGTTAAATTCTTCACCTTTTTTTTTTTTTTGGCACTTGAACTCGAATCAATTTTTTAGTTCATATGTGACTGGAGTTTAATGCATCTCCGAACATTGAAATTGTAATGCATCAGGAGACTCTTGGGAGAATGCCTAAGCTCGTGCACCCTTCAAGACCTGCAACAGATTGAACAGCAGTTGGAGCGGAGCGTAACCAAGATTCGCGCAAGAAAGGTTCACTATGAAACTAAACACATTGATTTCCTAAGATTTCTAGTTTTTTTTTTTTTTTTTTTTTTTTTTTTAACTTGCAATCTAACCTTCTTTCATCCGTGTCTAAAATTCAGGTGCAAGTATACAAGGAACAGATTGAGCAGCTAAAAGAAAAGGTATGATGTTAGAACTTTAAAAACTAAGCAAAAAAAATACTTTATATGCTGTTTCATTGATGATAACGCCTATTCTGTTTGGTTATATATTTTTTCCTAATGAAATTCAGGAGAAAGTCCTAGAAGCTGAAAATGCAATGCTTTGTGAGAAGGTAATTAATCTTCCTACACTTTTCTGGGCTTATTTACTGTTGTTATTTTCAATTCCTCCTCCGAGCTCGGGCACTATGCTTCATTTTTGGTTGTCATGAAAATGAAAAAAAGAAATGGAAAGTAGGAAACTTCTGAATCATACAAACTACGAGTTTGGAATGGTTATTTGTTTAGCTCAAGTGGTATCTCTTCTTCCTCCCACACGCAAGGTTGGAAGTTCTAAGTTCCCAGTGAGGCAAATATGTGCATTGTGGTTGACAGACTCGGAAGGTTTATGGAAGTGTCAAACATGATGAAACAACCAAAAGGAAGTTCTTTATCATAGTAAGAATGTAATGTTCTTGCATTCATTAAAGTTATTAAGAGGTAGTTATATTGGCTGAAAAATGTGACCTTTGTCTCCAGAAAATATACAAAATAATGAAAATGATGTTAAGTCCCGATCGAGCATTGTAGCATGCATTGAAATCTTTGGCTGGTGCATCTAACTCTTTTATTACTTTCTGCTTAGAGGATGCCTCACGAAAAGTGTAAGGTTCAGGTCAGGTTGCAAGGATGTGATAGTAATGAAAATCACTAAGAGATACAGGTGGAGCTCTTACCGAGTGGAATGACGAAGATCCGAGGTAGATTATATTGTCAGGTACCTCGGATGAGCTAGATGACTGGGACGCGATCGGAACAAATAATCTATTAATGAAACAAATTAAATGAACTATTGGGAACATTGAATTTGGATATCTTATTAGACAGTATTTATTGGAGTCGCACAAAAAACCGGACCAAACCGAACGGGAATTGCGTATCTCCACACTCCAAGAAAACTTGGATGGGCAACTTTTCTTCATTAGTTTTACTCGTGGTATAAAATTTGCATGGCATTGATTCTGTTTCTATATATGTTCATTTTCAGTACGTGCGCCAACCACAGGAAGGATCGAATGAAGATAGAGAAAACACCTGCACAGAGGGTAGTGATAAGTCAGATGTGGAGACTGAATTATTCATTGGTCCACCAGAAGGGAGAATTAAGCGTACTCCATCAAAGTAATTGATAATAATGCAGACCACTTGTGTATGTCTGCAATTTATTTTTAATGGTAGTATTTATCATCAATTTTCTATGTGTATTGCCAAATAGGTGCCTATAATAAACAATTTTGCACTCACGCAACCATAAAATAATAGTGAGTGTAACATTCTGTTTATTCTAAATATGCATTAAAGAGATGATTAAAAAATACTACTTACTACATTGTGGTTCTATTCCTTAATTTTCTTTTGTATAGAAGACCTTTCTACTGAAATGCTGCAAATTTAATGTATATATCGAATGTGCGGTTTATGTTTGGAACAAGGCTTTATCAAATCCATTTGAGCCTGTATATATATAGGGCATATATATACATATATGTACATATATGCATGATATATGTACGGAATTATATACATGTATATTACCGCAAGAAGTAATTTCTCATTATACAACTTCTGTGGTCAGATGGGCTTCATTTTTACAAATATATTATGATCATGATAGTCAAGTTTCCAACAAGAAAGATGAATCCATGCAAGTTTAAAGGGAAAGGGATAACTTTGATAGCCAGCCGCCAGGCAGTGGAACCTCAATATGTACACCCTCTCTCTCTCTCTCTCTCTCTCTCTCACACACACACACACACACACACACAAATGCACATATATGAGCTGGAAACTATGGTAGTTGTAGCTCTTGTTAAGTTGTAGCTTTTTCGAGAAATTGGAGAACTGCTTCTTTTCTGAGTAGCGCTGGAATAGCTCCTCATTCTGTCACCGTGAGTACACCACAACCATTTGCAAACGCTAGAGCTTCCCTTAATTTCTTCTCATCCTGCGGTGACACATCACAAGTTATATTTAATCCCATTCGAGGTTCAAATTAGTTTTTCTCATACCCAAAAAAAAAAATTGTATTTTGAGTGACATCAATCTCTTGGTGAAGTTGAAGAGCCGATCCACAATTTCAAATGCCAATTTATTGGTGATATGTAAAGATGGGTGAATGACTACTGGACTTTGTATACATGAGTTGCACTCCTTTAAGTGCCTTCAATGAAACAAATTAACTTAATGAAAAGAGAAATAGGTGGGTGTAAAAATTGAACCTTTGACAAATTAGGGTTAGAAGCCAAGCTATGCAGCACTCCACCAACAAAAGCATCACCCGCACCTGTTGTGTCAACCGCCGCAACTTTAACACCATTAACCCTACCCTTAAATTCCTGCAGAAAGTATTGGGTTGACATCAAACAGAAATCAAGAGGTTGTATGCATAACGCAAAAGAGAGAAGGAAACCAGAAAATCATCTACTGATCTCAACATAAACCCAAGTGGAACCATTTCATTGTGCAACAAAAAATTGCAGATGACAAATAAAATATTAATCTTACTAGGGCGAATAAAATTTGATGTGAACCTTAGTGTAGTATCTGCAGCCCTCTGCCCCTTCAGTAACAATCAAAAGCTTAAGATTTGGGTGGTAAAGCTTTTGTAACACCACATTGTCATCATAGGGTTCGTCACCTCCTGTCAAGAATGTAATTTCTTCCTCACTTATCTGCAAAAGCCACAAAAGGTCAGCCATAAAATAAAGTTTACCTAAAAATTATAGTTGAAGAAACTACTAAGATACTCTGGAGCACCATTTGAGAAAGTACCTTGATCATGTCAGCTTCATTCCATATGCTCATGATGCCTTTTCGAGCAGCCTCTTCTGAGGGCCACAGAGGCAATCTTAGATTCGGGTCATAAGAGAGAATACAACCCGACTTTTAGGCAACTTCCATTGCAGCAATATGAGTTGACCTACATGGTTCCTCGATCAAACTGATTGAACCATAATGAAATATGGTTGCCTACATAAATAATAATCAGAAAACAGCATCTTATGGTAAACAGTTTCTGGCTATCATACTCTTTTTAGTTAAAGAAGTTTCAGATTCAAGAGACCCCCGACATAAAAAAAAAAAGGCTACTAGAAATTACTAGAACAAACAGTGGAAGCCATTTTTCATTCTACTTGCTTCTGATACAGTGATACGCCAAGATGTTTTACCTTCTGAATTAGGTTTTTGTCAAGATCTGCTTCAGAGAGAAGCATATCAGCACTTGGATTACGGAAAAACATGAATTCACGCTCACCATCAGCTCTCAGTGTAACAAAGGCCAGTGCAGTCCTTGCATGAGTATCAAAGCGGATTCCGGAATTGTCAACATTATTTTGTTTCAGAATGTCAGATAGCATGTGACCAAATTCATCTTCACCAACCTGATGTGCAGACAAAAGAAGACCAGTAGTTAAAAAAAAAAAAAAAAAAAGGTTGAATTGAAACCAGAGAAATTAGTTTTGGACGGTTCTATGGTTCATGAAGTGCTGAAAAGGTAAAATTATGCACAAGAACAAGATTGCGAGAAGTGAATAAAAAATTGAAGCCAGAAATGAAAGAGCATCAAGCTAATTTTATCGCCGCGAACATAAAAACTCAGACTGGATAAGCAGAGAAGAAAGATGCCAAGGAGCAAAATGACAGGCATACGCAAGCATATAACATGTTACAGGCCATACTACAAACAGATCACGCTGAGAAAAATGATAGCAAAATGAGTGTTTCATGGTGCACATCATAAATTCAAGGGCCTTTGACATTGGCATATTAGAGTATTTACATTTCTTTTCAATTTTCTCTTGAAACTTATAGTTTTTCTTTTTATTTGTTATTATTAGTTTTTGGCTTTTGAGCTAACCAGATAAATGTTCATAACGGCATTTGCTTGAGCACTTATGCCAGAACCACTGATATGAATTCTTATCCTATCAAGAGCACAAGGGAAACCCCTTGAAACAATGCACTAGCTTCTAAAAGGCTGCAGTCCCCATCAAACTTTTATTAATGTCTAAAACTTATAACCCTTACAGAATACCTAAAACCCTTTCCCTTACAAGTACCAATGAAATTTTTTGGTTTATGCAGGCAAGGATTGTTCTGCAGCTCCAAATGTGGCATCAATACATAATTAAATGTGTTGAGTCTACGGAGCAAGCAAAAGATAGAACTCTCTGATGCAATTGCATTAAACTTTCATTAACAAGGATATTTTTTTTGCAAGAGGTGATAATAAACTAGTTAGGGATTTCAACTGAACAAGCTGAGGAACCTCCTAATCTTGCTATCCCAACAGCAACATTAGCAGGAGCCCCACCCGGAGCTTTCTTAAAAGCGTCTGCCTCTGCAAGTGAAACTCCAGCAGCAGTCGGCACAAAGTTCATCAACAGTTCCCCAAAGCAAACCACCAGTGGTTTCTTCTCTACACAGTATCAATGATAGAAAATTGGTCAAGATGGTTTGGACACGTGCAAAGAAGACCTTTAAGTGCGCTAGTTAAGAAAAGTGATATAGTCCACATTGAGGGTACTACTAGGGGAAGAGGAAGACCAAAGCTAAAGTGGGTAGAGATTTTTTTTTTTTTTTTTTTTTTTTTTTTTTTTTTTTTTTTTGAGTTAGTAATGAAGGGTATGATAGCATGTGGATTGACCGAGGTTATGGCTTTAAATGGAGCGAAATGGAAACATAGGATTCATATAATCGACCTCGAGTAGTTGAGAAAAAGAATTGATTGTTGTTGTTGTTGTATTCTAAGGTCATCTGTGATTGATACAAACATAATTGTCAGTATCAATTGCAAATAGCACACATTTAAGATTAGGGCCATTTAAAAAGAATGCACATTAGCACATCTATGAACCAAAACAAGATCACATAATTGGAAACGGAAAGCAAACGATAATAGATTTATCAAGCAATCCTTTCAAATAAGTAGATACATATTTAACTGAATAAACACTCAAACAATCTCAAAGAAACATGAAAACATCGGTACATACAATACAACAAGCTTCAGCAGGAACTTCAAATAATTAATGACCAAAAACAACTTGTGATCCTATTATGCTCAACAATAGTACATTCTTTTGTTCAAGAATTAAATCTGCAAGAATCAAATAATCCACATAAACCCAGAATCAAACAATCTCAAATAAACACTATGAAGAAATCTGATGCCCATATAAATATAAAACAAACCTTGTTTTCCTCAAAAATCAAAATGGTTTGCGAGAAATGCAATTAAAAGGGAACAACATGATCAATTCAAATAAAAATTCAATAGATAAATTTAAAAAAAAAAAAACCATAATCTAAATTTAATCAGATTATCCATTAATTCTCGTGAAATTGCATATTGGGTGTCAAAATTCAAATGGGTATCCATTAAAGTGAAGGAAAAAAAGTTCTCACCAGCTGGCTAGGTCTTACTCTTGGATAGTTTGAAGCTTCGCTTCAAGGAGCCGTCGAAATTGACGGGAAAACAGCAAGACATTCTGGTCCCCATCTTTTTCGGTGGGTCATCCATGGTTACAGGGACCAAGAAGATAAGGAGGAGGAAGAGGAGGAGGAGGAGGAGGAGGAGGTTCACACTCAATATTCATAACTTATACAAGTTATATACGATATATATATATATATATATATATTCTCTGTTCTATTTTCTCCGAATCCTACTATGCCGGGATTAAGGAGGTTTTCCATGTACATTTACAGCTCTTCTTTGTAGTTCTGTAGTTCATATTTGGGCGCGCACGTATATGCATACAGGTGTGTATGTTTGTATATATGCTCAAAAGTCACAACCTACCCGCCTAGCATTTATGGATTTTCTCTCCTCAAACAAGCCTAATTACATTATACACACGCGAATGATTAGCCCAAAGTCCACATGTATCTCCCAATTGAATTTAAATGGTAGGTGTTGTCTGCAAATATTTAAGGCCTGTTTCGCTGGGTTTTTTGTAGCTTCAAAACGAGCTTCTAAGTCAAAAAAGCCTTCACTAATAATAAAGAGTTTTTGGTGAAATTTTTGATAATTAACTTTTAAAAAGTCTTGGTAGTTTAGAAGTCCAATGAACCAAAGCCAATAAAATATGTTTCTTGATCGACTTTCAATAAAGTAATAAATATAAAATTCCTATTTTATCTATTATTTAATCATTTCTATTTCTAAATTACTTTGCAAACTTTTCTCTCAGTATCATCTTCTTTGTTCGTTCTATATCAAAAAATTAAAAAAGATATTGAGCAAAATTTTGCGGATCTTTATTAAAAAAAATATTATTGAAAAACGATTAAAAAAAGAAAGAATAAAGACATTGAGGAGTTGCAAAAAAAGCTAGGATTGTCTTACATTTGACTTCAAAGACTAAAGAGCAGAGGAGTTACAAAATTTAATAATTATCATCCAAAATTCAACCCTACGTATGATTTTAAACAACTACACATACAATAAATATATACACAATATATATATATATATATATATATATATATTTATTTATTTATTTATTTATTTTGAAGTCTACCTGTTTCATTTAGGTATCAAGTTTAATGATAAAGTGATTTATAGTTATAAATAAGAATAAAAATGAAATATTTTTGATGCCATATCTCTCTCTTTCGTTTTATTTTTCTTTCCTTTAAATTTATATACCTTGATCTTCACTATGCCTATTAATTATTACTGAAACATCTGCAATTTTACTCCATCCATAACTTTAAGTATGTTTTTTGTCCCAATTCAACTCTATGCTATTATTCATGAATTATTAAGAATATAATTGTCAAGTTAAATTATGTTAAATTATGTTGATAATAAAAGAACTTCAAAAAAATCACCAACCAAACAACTTTTTTGTTTTAAATTTCTTTCATCAAAATGCATTTTTCAAAGCCGTGGAATGAATTTTAGAAACAGAACGCTCCCCAAACAGGGACTTAAAATTTAACTTGTAAAATTGACAAGATGTTGATTTCAAAATAATAATATTAATAATAATTTTTCTGCGTCACTAATGTATAAGAATAGACCTTGTGTTTATCTCAATAGCTGCCATATTTATAAAAATCGATTGACATTTATATAATATTTTTCCTTTCTGCATGGTGAGGGATGGAATCAAAGTTTTCATTTTATTTACACGAGAGTTTCTCCACGCAAGACTCTGTTTCAATCCATCATGTGTTCGGTAAAAATCAAATATACATACATAGATTTCCCACGCATATAAATTTGTATAACCCTTGATGTGGGTTATATTATATACACATATATCACACAATAATAAATACATAAGCACACGCGCGTTTATGAGCACACACATATATGTACATAAAACACACATATACGAATATGGTAGTTGTCTCTCTTGTTAAGGAATAGTGTCTTGCAGAAGTCGGAGAACGGCTGCTTTAGTGGGCAGAGCTGGAATAGCTCCTCTTTCTGTCACCGTGATAGCACCACAGGCATTCGCAAACACAAGTGTGTCGATCAAACTTTTTTCATCCTGCATTGTGATGTCACGTGTTATATAATTGTGTCTAAACTATTTTCATCCTGCAGTGAGACATCACATGCTATATAATCACATTCAAAGTTCATATTAGTTTAATTTTTCACATTACAATTCACATACCAAAAAAAAAATCTATACAGCGATCGAGCAATCTCTTGGTGGAGTTCAAGAGCCTATCCCCAACTTTAAGAGCCATTTTATGGGTGTTATGTAAAGCTGGGTGACAGGAAGATTAAAACACTAGACTGAGCAGGCATTTGGACTTTGTTACTCCTTTAAGTGCCTCTCATGAAACAAATTAACTTATTATTATTATTATTATTAGGGTAAATTGAAAAAAAGAAAAAAGATATATAAAAAATGTGCAAAAAAAACATCCCTGCTATTTGAAAATAGATGTAAATTGCCCCCTAATATATATTGACTATCAATTTTGACAAATTTTTTTTAATAAAAACCCCAAAATACCCTTAATAATCTCTCTCTCCTCACTCTCATCCTAAAATCAGTGTTTTTTTTTTTAATTTTATTTTGTCTTAAGGGTATTTTAGGTATTTCAGTCTTTAAATTGACAAAATGTCCTTATTTGCTCAATTTGAAAAATATAGGGGTCTTTTTTAACACCAGGAGAGTATCTAGGGGTGATAGTGGAAAAGCTGATAGAATAGTCACCCTTACCACCACTCTACAGAACCGAGATGCACATGAGATTTTCATTTCATACGGCTCCTTGTTCAATTCTTTCGATTTTGCACGTTCTTTATATAACAAAGGTTTTTTTTGCGCTTTACCCTTATTATTATTATTTTGGTAGCTAAGCAATAAGATTATAAACTCACACACATGACACGGTCCCGTGTGGAGCTTGAACCACTCACCTCCCATTGGGGAGGAGAGGTCATACCACCTGGACCAATGGCCTGGTGGGAAAGGAAAACAGGAAAAAGCAAGAAACACTCGATAAGCAATGGGTGGAAAAATTGAACCTTGAACAAACTAGGGTGTGAAGCCAAGCTGTTCAGCACTCCACCAACAAAAGCATCACCTGCACCCGTTGTGTCAACAGCCTCAACTTTAAGACCAGAAACCTTGCCCTTAAATTCCTGCAGAAAATATTTGGTTGCCATCAAATACAAATCAAGAGATTGCATGCATAATGCAAAAGAGAGAAGGAAACAAAAAAAAAACACACCTACTAATAAGAATGTCCTATATGAGCCAGATCTGCATTGATATATATATATATATATATATATATATATATATATATATATATTATGTGATTCATTGAAGAACATAAACCAAAGTTGAATTATTCCATTGAGTAACAAAATTGAAGAAGACCAATAACATATTAATTTTATTAGGAAGAATAAAATCCAATGTTATTAACCTTGGTGAAGTATCTGCAGCCCTGTGCCCCTTCAGTAACAATCAAAAGCTTAAGATTTGGGTGGTAAAGCTTATTAAACACCGTATCGTCATCATTAGGATCATCCCCTCCCATCAAGAATGCAGTTTCTTCCTCATTTATCTGCAAAAGCCACCAAAGAGCCCGCTATAAAAATTAAATAAAATTTATCTTAAAATTATAGGGAAAGAAACTAAAAAGATACTCTGGAGCACCATATCTCTCTATAGGGTTCAGAATGTACCTTGATAATGTCAGCTTCATTCCATATGCTCATGATGCCTTTTTGAGCAGCCTCTTTCGAGGGCCACAGGGGCAGTCTCAGATTCGGGTCATAAGAGAGAATGCAGCCCGATTTTTTGGCAATTTTCATTGCAGCAAGGTGAGTTGACCTGCATGGTTCCTCGATCAAACTGATCGAGCCATAATGAAATATTGTTGCCTGCATAAAAATTAATCGGCGAAACTCCGTGGAATGCAGATCAAACTCAAGATAATTCAATCTGAAAAAGTTCTCTAAAAGAAAAAGATGGCATAGAAAAGAGGCAACTTGAAATTTTTATAATAAAAATGTAAGCCATTTTCCGTTCTAGTCGCTTTCTAATACGTTTATGTTTTACCTTCTGAATTAGGTTTCTGTCAAGTTCTGCTCTGGAAAGACGCATATCAGCACTTGGATTGCGATAAAATGTGAATTCACGCTCGCCATCAGCTCTCAGTGAAACAAAGGCCAGTGCAGTCCTTGCCTCAGGATCAAAGCGGACGCCAGAATTGTCAACGTTATTTTGCCTCAGAATATCAGATAGCATGCGACCAAATTCATCGTCACCTACCTGATATGCAGACAAAATAAGACCAGAAGTTAAAAAATATATTCAGTTTTCTTCATCCTATCAATGGCCCCAGAGAACACATTTGAAACAATGTCCTAGCTTCTAAATGGTTTTATTGACTATAAATTTTTTATTAATGTCTGAAACTTTAACTATACAAGATTAAGTTCCGAACACGGAAATTTTGATTTAAGAAGGCAAGAACTGTTCTGCAGAAGCAGTTGTGCAGCTCTAGAGGCTGCATCAATACATAATTAAATGTGCAAGTCTAAGAAACAAAAAAAAAAAGAAAAAAAAAAGATAGGACTCTTCGATGCAATTGCATAAAACTTTACAATAAGAAGGATATTCTTTAGTAAGAGATGAGAACAAACTAGTAGTTAGGGAGATTTCAACTGAACCTTGCCAATGAAAGCCGAGGAACCTCCTAATCTTGCTATGCCGACAGCAACATTAGCAGGAGCTCCACCAGGAGCTTTCTTAAAAGCATCTGCCTGTGCAAGCGAAACTCCAGATACAGTTGGCACAAAATCAATCAACATTTCCCCAAAGCAAACCACCAGCGGCTTCTTCTTCACAGAAGGAGATGTCGGTGAACCTACACAGGATCAATGGTTCGGTATCAATGACAGATGCAGGCACAATACACTTTCACAAAACAATTGGGAAACTGACAATTTTCCTATGGTATTCTAAGGTCATATGTGATCCATAGGAACATAAAACCAGAAAAAAATCATACTAGGCTGCACTTCAATGAAACAAAGAAAAGAACATCTGTACAAGGCACCACATAATCATCAATGTATGTACTATTAGTGCAAGAATGAACTGCAATGCAACTTTAACAGAACATCCACCAATTCTCCAATTTAGTCCGTTTTAACAAATATGTAGAAACATATACGTGCAAGTGAATGTGTGTGTGTCTAGATATATCAAAATTACATGGATAAGAATTATCTATCAAACCAAATTGTTAATAGACACAAAAAGGTAAGAACCTTACCATAAGATTCATCAATGACTCGTTTCAGAACTTTGGCATACATATGAACCAAAACAGATTCACATTGTTCTAAATCGGTAATACTACTAAATAATAAAGCAGTACTACTCTTAACAAGTAGATAAACAACTAATTCAATGAACACTCGAACAATCTCAGCGAAACATAAAAACATTAAAGTACAGTACAAAACTTTGAATGACCAAAAATAAACTGTGATCCCATATTCTAATCTAGTGGTATTTCATCACCTTCCAAAATACAATCTCCAGAGTTCTCTGAAGGCAAAGCGTATTTCTTGTCAAATAAAAAAATAATAATAATAATACAATTGCAAGAATCAAATAATCAATTCTGACACCCAATTAAGTACATAAACTCACAATTAAACAATCTCAAATAAGCATTATTATAAATCCGAATGGCAATTAATATATATAAATTTTGGCCGTATAAATCACATAAGGACACATTTTGACTCAAAAATCAAAATGGGTATTGTCAGAAATTCAAAGAAAAAGTAAATAAAATCAATTAAAATGAAAAAGATTAATAGACAAAAAACAAAACCCATAATAAAACACATTAAAAAAAAAAAAAAAAAAAGGTGGGGTCTGACCAGGTGGTGATGAGCTATTGGGTAGCTTGAAGCATCGATCAAGATTAAGAGAGGAACAGCTAGTACTAGTTTTGGTCCCTGTCTTGTTTGATCGATCCATAGGTACAAACAGCAGGAAGAGAAGGTGGGAGGTTCACATACAATATCCATATCATATATACACACACACTAACACACACATATGAAGTACTGCACTTTTACTCCCTTGCGTGGATAGTAAGAGATTCTCAAACTTAAAATAAGCCCAATTTATCTATAAATTAGAGGATCTCTTGCTCTCGACGCCAGGGAGAGGGAACAAGACAGCGGGAGTCGTCCGCAAAGCATTTATGTTCTCTTCTGTTTTCTCCAGATCCTACCTAGTATAATCGAAAATATGGAGGTGCTTTTTTTTTTAAAGCTTTTTTATTGCTTTCTTTTCGAAGTTGTGTACTTTATTCTTCTTAGAGTATATATACGCTTGACGTATTAGATAGACGTCACAGATACAGTATATGTAATGGGCCAAATAACCTGCGGCCCAATGGATAACGGTTGTCTTAGGCCCAACTTAAAATTGAATGTCATTCTCACAATGCCCAAAATATACTTAAATTTAAGGGTAAATATCGTAAATTACAGTTACAGGTTTAAACAAATTACAAGCGGGTATTGATGTTTATTACTTTCACCTCTCTTAAATTTTGGTGTGTGCGCTCAACAAGTCCTTTAATATTAAATTGGGGTTAAAAATGTTAGAAAAAAATTCATAGAATGACCAAATTTCCCTTTCTCTGTTTGAAAAGACATTAATAACTTTATAAAATTTTGGCAGCAACAAACACGTTTAGTTTATCAAAAGTTGCTAAAGAATCCCATGACCTACGGATGTTGGAATTCTGGTATTAAAATGGTCACGTACAACATACATAAAACATGATCTGACAGATGTCTTGATAGTCCAGTTGGTTAGTGCCTCCAATGGACTTTTGGAATGCCAGACTTCGACTTTTTACATTTACTACTAATCTAACTTTTTAAAAAGTTCTTGCCTTGGAAGCAAAACATGATCCGATTGATTTGATGAAAATATTTTTACGCATTCAAGAAACACCATTAATTTCTCATTTATAAAATCAATTGTAAATAGTAAAATGGGCATGCATAAGGTTTATTTTTTATCTTACCGTTAAAGATATAAGATCCAAAACATGAGATTTGATATTTTCAAATGGTGAAGGCATGAGGTTAAATTTGGAAGATTTGCAGCAATGAATCAATTTGGAAATTTAATCTTTTGAAAAAAATTGAAGATTCAATCAAATGTAATTAATATTAATATCAATTTTGCAAAATCTAAAAGATTATATATGAATTAGAAATATTAAAAATTTATTAATATGAAAAATTAAATGTAACTTTTTTATACGAAAACTATATATATACTACTATATAAAATATAATGAAATAAAATGTAATACAAATAAATCACCTATTAAAAAGAGCATAAAATAATGTGTGAAAAAAGATAAAGGCGCTCTAGTAATTATTCTTGGGTATCATTATAATTTTATGAATCTTAGAAGGCTAGTAATGTCTTTTAAACTAGGGAAAGGGCAAATGCATCGTAATTTAAAAAAAAATAATATTACGGATTGGCTTTGAGCACATACATCAAACCTCATGTTATGTTTGATTGGAAGAAAAAAATGAAACACCATGAAAGAGAAGGCAGAGGGAAGAGAGGGAGGAAGGAAGTCGTCAACCCTTCAGTTAAACGAAGCACTATAAAATAAAGTAAGGGGAATTTAAAAGAATCATTGAATTAGTATCGAATTTGACGTAATTGGTCATTCTTATTGCATGTTAAACAATTATTTTTGAGAACTGTTTAAGTAGATGAAATGGACAAAAACACGTCAAATTCGATACTTATTCGGGTTAATTCATTGGTCTCTCTATCATTATTCTATATAAAATATTATGTAATTAACGATATTTAATTAGACTTAAGGATGTGCTAGTGTAATTTGTCCTTTTTGTTTGTTAAATTACAAGAATATCTCATGTCAATTTATCTGATTGTGATTAGGTTTTTGTTCTAATATATATCATATATATATATTTTTTTTGTAATAAAATATAATTAAAATTTAAAAGTTATAAAATATTGACATTAATATTTTTTTATGATGTTGACGAAGGGAGAATTTTTTTTTTTTTTTTTTTGTTATTTACATACAAGTCTCAGATAAATGTGATTTAACTAATAAAGAAAATGTAACCTCAAGTTGTTGGTGTAATTTATTTTTATTTTTATTTTTATTTTTGGTGGTTTTATTTTTATTTTTAATATTATTATTTTTTAATAGCACTTTTGGAGGTTTTATTGCTCTGCAAAGGTGCTATGTACATCATTGTGGACTAAGACACTGTGTAACACAGACTGCTGAGAAGAGAGCACAGATAGAATTGAAAGAAAGCAAGGGAAGGGAAGTCTGTGAGGAGAGAAATGGCAGCAGCAGGAGAAGCGCAAAGAAGACCGGCAAGACCTATTCCTCCTTCGGCCAGAGGCCCTCCTCCTCAACCGCAGAGGCCCGCTTCTCGCTTCCAACCCGTTGATCGCGAGAAGGTTATCGTCTATTTCTCTACCATCTCTCTCTATATATATCATATATCACATACGTGTATACGTGTGTTTCTATATATCTCTCTATATATGTGTATGTATGGGTTCTCTAGGGTTTCAAACCACGACCTTTATTTCCTTTTGCTATTCTAGGGTTTCTCTGTTCGCGCGGGGAAGTTTGTTTCAATTTTTAGCTAATAGGGTTTCTAATGAGTTGGATATTTCTTTTGTATGCGATTATTTATATTCCTTGGCCACACTGTTTTTGAGCCCTTTTCTATGGACTTGTACTGGGTATCCCACAACCCAGTTTGTTGTTGTTATTAGTTTTGATAGATGTTTCTTTGGAGAGAGTTAAGTATATGTATTTGTAATCGAAAACTCTGAAGAAGTTGGTAGAAAAGTAATGAAAAACAATCATCATTCAGTTGTTCTTGCAGGAATAAGTTTTATTTGAGATTAGGAAAATCATGCCTAATGAAAAACATGATTACCCCTTTTTAGCAAAAATGGGTAATCTTTGTGTTTGAAACTAGAGAAATAGAGATCTAAGTACGAATCGTACTTCAATTAAGAGAGAGGACCAAATTAAATTATCATCTAGGTCTGAACAAACCCAGAATCCCTTAACAAGGGAAAGGAGAAACCCACCAAACAAAGAGAATTAAGCTGGATTTTATTTTATTTATTTATAGTTAGGTAAAGTATTCAAACACACATTTCACAAATTCCCCACTCTGGGACTCGTACCCTTCACCTCCCATTTGAGTGAGGAGAGGTTATACAAAGGGAAAGGTCAACCCTACCAAACAAAGAAAATTAAGCTACCATTGTTAGCAATGGAAAATAAAAGCAGAACTGTTCCTTACAAGCTGAGGTAGAAAGGTAAGAGCAAGAAGTCTCACTCCGTTTAACACTCCCGTAAGTCACCCCCCTCACATCTATAAGAGTGATGTCTTCCTCTATTCCTTTAATAAATAGTGCAGCCAAGAGGCTATAGTTCCTTACTAGATAATAGTTCAAAGCGAGGATCAAGAAGTCTCACTCCATTCCTTACTCTCATAAGTCACTCTCCTTACATGAACCCCTCAACTCCCCTTTGAGGAGGAGAAGAGTACAAGGGAAAGGACAAACCCACCAAGAGAATTAAGCGAGATTATTGAAATGCATACTAAGATTTCATCTAGTATCTTAATTACCAGACAAGGTCATGTTTTTTGTGACTGCAATTCTTTAATTGTTGTGTATCTGATATTACAAATATGACAGCAAACGGTTCTCGTTTCCTTCTTAGTGATGTAATGCATTTCTATTTTTTGTTATCTGCTTTATTAGGATTAACAAAGAACATTCTCTCATTGAGTTATTGTGTCTATATATTAACAATCTTTATCTATAACATGCAGACTTGTCCTTTGCTACTACGAGTTTTCACAAAGGTATGTGTCACTTATGACAATCAGATGTTCTTGTCGTTTAAAACCTACTTGTAGTCTTGTACAGTTGTACTATTTCTCTTTCTTTGGTCTTGTGCTGAGAATTGTTGCAGAATTTGGGGGTAAGAGAGACAGGTGAGGGATTTGGTTTTTGGTGTCGGTAGTTGGTCAGAAATTGGGGTAGAAAATGGTTTCCGTAGGCCAAATATGGTCATAGGGTATGGTGGTCAATAAGAATGATATAATAGTATTATTATATGTCATGTGTTTTGCATATGACTACATTCTGTTATCTTCCGTATGGTAGGTTGATAGAAGGGGGTAATTGCAAAATTCTGAGTAAAGTTGGGAGTTATTTGTCAAAAAGAAAGTACTCGAAGGTGGTTAATTGCAAAGACGATTTTTTTTTTTTGGATGGTTCAGGGCTTTTTTTTTTTTTTTTTTTTTTTTTTTTTTTTTTGTTGTGCATTTTGCCCTTGAAGAAATAAATTATACAAAATGTGAGTATAAATTTAGAGTTATTCTACATGTAAATTAATTAATAAATTTGTATCACTTGAATTTTCTACAGATTGGAGGTCATCATTCCGATGAAGATTTTGCGGTTAGGGGCAAAGAACCTAAAGATGAGGTCCAAATTTATACATGGAAGGATGCCACTCTTCGTGAGTTAACTGATCTGGTATGTTGAATGATTTGCCATACTCTTATTTTGTCATTGCTCTTCTTTTATCACTACACCTTCATGTACATACTACCACTGAAATTTATTGAAATTGTTATACACAGTTGAAGTGTTGGAAAGTGAGGTGCAAGTAAATAAATTTAGGTACTATTCTTAAAGAAAGGACAAATAAATATGTTAAAGTATACTAATAAATAAAACTATATTTCATGTGTTCTTTAGGTTCTTGCATTTTTTCAGTAAATACCATTCCTAGAGAAGTAAATATATTTGTTATACTCTTATATCTGGCGGATAGAGAGCCTGTTGGTGACCCTTAGTTTGTATGTGTTTGTGTAGTTGTCACAGTTTTAGGTTTCTCTCTTCGTCCTGCATCGGAAGGATACAAATAGATCTAAGTTGGGCTGACTTATAAAACTCACATGGGAGGCCAAAACAGTTTGAGTGATGGGCTGGTTCTGGGCTTAAAAAAAGGCTGAACCTGCCCAATTTTTATATATTTGAATTGAATATAAATATACTTGTTTAATTTTAAACAATTGTTTTTAATTAACAGCCAATAAAATCTTAATTAACAATTGAACCGGCTGGTTCTCTAGAACCGACCAATCTTAATTAACATTGATCTGGCTGGTTCTCTAAGAGAACCGACCAATTTAAGGCTGTATCGACTGTTTCGGATAGAGTATCGGTATTGGGTGGCTCAAAATCCGTTGCAAACTGGCTGGTTCGCTGAACCATGATTACCACCCTCACTGTTATGTAACAATATATGATACAATATTGAAGAGGGAGAAAGAGCTAAATCTCTCATGCAGCTCATCAAACTGGCCTTTTATATCAGAAACACTTGTGGTAGCAGAATTGGGTGGCCTGATGTTGACCCTGAAATAAACCTTATACATTTTTGTTTTAGGTTGTATGTGATTTGGTGGTATGGGATGAATTTGTATAGTTTGGAATTATAACTTATATTTAGTAGAACCTGGTAAAGATAAATCCATTTTGTATTATAACATGCGCTTTTCGGTTTCTCGTTGATAATACTTCTTACTGCTTCTTTCGCAGGTTAAAGAGGTAGCTCCAGAAGCAAGGAGAAGAGACGCAACGCTGTCCTTTGCTTTCGTATATCCTGCTAGTCATGGACGTTTTATACTTAGAGAGGTCTCTCTCTCTCTCTCTTTCTCTCTCCCTCTATGTATGTATATATACACATATATGTATCTATCTATCTTTGCATGCATAGTTTGATCATGCAACCATGTGCCATGTGTGTTTGTCCATGTCAGTGCCACCGTCTTCATAACTGGTGGTTATGCATATTATATCTATGAAATTGGTTCTTCTACTTGTTCAAGTCACTAAAATTTGCTGTTTTACTCATTTGTGAATTTAATTTCCCTGAATCTGTTACGTCTAACTTTGTGCTCTCAGAGATGCAAAAGGAATTATTCTGATTCTAAATCTCTGACACTACAAATTATTTTGAACGTTAGGATGGTATTGGTCTACTTCTTACAAGAGGAGAAAAGTTGAGTGATGTGAAATGTTCTAGAACTTTAAGTTTAAAATCTTCTTGAAAAAGAAATTTCCCACATCTGAAAAACTACTGGATTGCATGCACCTTTTGCCTAGTATATGTAACCCTCTTAAATGCAAACCTAAGAGGCATTGTCGCATTGCTAGTGTATGTCTCGGCCACGGGTGGTTTTGGAAGGGGAAGACTGGAATAGCCTAACCTTTGACATTGTTTTTGGTACAGGAAACTATATCTATGCATATCTTCAGTTGAGTTACTTTGAGCTAATATGGATGATGAAAAATATTGAACACCTTGAAAAGTTTCAAGATGCGACTAGGTTCCTGCCAATGGCATGTAAAAAGGAAGAAGGAAAAGATAAGTAAATTGATTCAATGAATTGATGTATATGCCTAAGCTATAAAACTTTGCTAAATATAAAAAATGATAGATTTGATGTTTTTTCATAACAGTTCCCAATCCTAATATGAGTACTAAACCAGAAATTATAAGGGTGTAGTGCACTTAAAAAACACCCCTCTACTATCCTTCCAATGCATATCAACCCCTTGTTGTGCACTAATCCCCCTCAAATTGAAAAAGTATGCAAATAAGTACCACTTGACACATTCAAGTAAGACATTGACCAAATTACCCTTACATAAACATTTCTCACATTATTTAAAAAAAGATTGTTTTGTGAAATGACCAAAAAGGACACCCGTCTAATATGATGTCGTTTGTGTCTATCTTATACATTATCTATTTGTTTGTTTGGCCGTACACCACTTATTTCAATCTTCACTTTCCCTCAATGGTGGGTAAGGACAATGGTGTTGAACTACTTGTTGGCAACGGCAACGGCACTCTGGCTGATATGTGTTGGTGATGAAGCTCTCATGGAGTCAACCCAAGAGTTCTTTTCTGCTCCATTGATGTCGAGGTTCTGGAGGAGCTTTTTCTGAGGAATGGTGATGTAACCGCCTGACACCGCCTTCATGAACAGCGACGAGTTTGACATATTGCCATACTCGATTGTGTTATCACCACCACATTCTGCTTCGTCGTATTACCTCTTTTTCCAATCAAAATCAGCACTATAAAACCACCCTAAATCACATTATTAACTCACAAAACGCAAAATTAAAACAAACCCATTTGAGGAAACTAACATTAGTTTCTGAGAATTTTAGTGACTTTTCTTGGTAAGAAGAGGATATATATGGAAGTGACTTAGAAACAGAGAGCTCTGTTTTTGAAAATTGGTGAGAAAAAGAGAGGAGATTGAATTTGACGGGTTGATAGAACACAAAACAAGCAAACATTGAAAGCTCCAATAGGAAACTCTTGTTTTAATATATAAAGATAGAAACTTTGAAAAAAATGAGAGTTTTGAATTAAAAATGACTAATTCAAGGTTACTTTGAAGTCATGAGAGTGTTTTAATGTATTAAGATAGAAAATAAATGGGTTGCAAAGATTTTTGGGAGGAAAGGCTGCTGAGAGAGAGAGAGAAAGCCCATATTGTTGCTTTATAGTTGCAACCAGACACCAACGGACAAAACAATGCTAGTCTTGATGGGACATTCCTTAATTGCACAAGACAATCCTTATTGGCTTGTTGAATCCACAGTATATGAATAATCATTTGAGCTTTGAAAGTGCTGATGAAGGTTGATTGCTGGAGAGAGAGAGAGAGGTGCAAGATACTACTGTAGAGGGGAGACAGGAAACCAGCTAGGGGTATATTCGGAATGTCAAAAAGGAAAAAGGGAATAATACATCTACTTTATGTCACATGTCACAGAAAAGTGATTTGAGGAGTGTTTTCACACAATTTTTTATTTTATTTTTTTAAAAAATAAGGTGTGACAGCACATTTTAAAAAGTAGGGGGGTGAAAGCGCTATGCGGAGTATACTACAGGGGTTTTAAAGCACCTAACCCAAATTCTAATCTACAATTCACAATGATTTTGTCACCATCATGAATGTAACAAATAAATCTCAGTGTTTGCATTTGGTTGATCTATCCTGAAAACATTGAAACACCATTTCCGATTCTTCCCAATGATCCTATTTTTCCATTTTTTATTTTTTATTTTTGTGAGATGTTGTAATGAATGACACCTAGTTGGCTCATAATATTTTCCCAATCAATTTCTAAGATGAGGTATCCTCTTTGTCCAATAATTACTGAGCTTTTAAACATCTCTCTCTATAATTGAGGTCAAAGTTGGGTTGGTCCTGTCAGGCTGTGTATGTAATTAGGTTCTATAACTTGGATTGTGGAGTAGCATGTATAGAAGAAGATGAGACTAGGACGCTAAGCCAACTTCCAAACATGTTTCAAACTGTAATATATTATGCACACAGATTTGCATGGTGGAATATATGGATTCAAGCAATTGGATTGCAACTTTTGAATATGTTTCTAGTTGACATGAGGGTTATAAATGCTGATGGTATACCAACTTGAATAAAAAAATAACCAATTTGGTTTCTGTTGGTTGAAGTTTCAGGTTGAATTTCGATTCCATCATTATACATTTATTATATTTATGCATGGAATCATGTTCCCTTTGCAAATGCAATGAGAGATGCCTATATTACTGTTTTGATGGTTGATTTCTCTATTGTCATGAAGGTTGGAAAAACATTTTCTTATCCAAATGGGAGACGACCAGACAATGGCAGCAAGGCGTTGGGTGAACTTAACTTCCAGGTACACCATTCTCTTTCTTCTTTGCATCACACATCTTACGCCTTGAGTTTGTTACTAACTTGCATTCGACATAAATGCAGATTGGAGATTACTTGGATGTGGCAATTTTTTAGGAAGCTGTCCACCGTGTTGAGTATCCTGTCTCCATGGTGCATGGTTGGATCACGGACAGATACGTGAAGGTCTTCTATTGCATGTTTTCTGATTGTCGGTTGGACTGATGCCCCTTTTTATGGATAGACAAGTACGGATTTCTTTAGGTTCTTATCATGAAACGGAAAGTTGGCAAATTATGTTTAATCCGGTGTGACAAATCGGAAGACATTCTAACATTACCCTGCTTCTCTTGTGGTTTGTGTAATTATCTCAGTAGGAGGAAACTTTGAGCTTTTTGACTCTGTTCTCTTGTGTACCAAGAGGCCTCCATATTAGTACAAGAAGTCCTTTTTTTTCTTTTCCCTCTTCTGAAATATAGGGATCGTGCATATTATGGTTTCTAAGCTTGATGTAGGTCATTGAGCCAAATGGTGCAATTTGTCCAGAAATTTGTAGAAAATCATGTTTCTTACCACATATTTCGTTCCGTTCATTTTCAATTCGAAATAAAATGGACGCTACACAATTGAAAAAAATTTAAAAAATAAAAAAATTTAAATCCACTTTTCTAAACTAAAAAGATACTAATTGTTCCAATCCCATGTTTTCTAACACAGTTATTTCTATAGGAGAATGCACACACTATTGCTAAATGCAAGTACTCTGGTCTCCATAGTCTAATACCATACCCAATAAAGAAGCAATTGTCATTCGTTTTCAAAAGAAAACCCTAACTTGTACATAAAGGCTTAACACGAGTGATAATTCTTCGAGATCCCTACACGTGTAAGGTGGTGAATTAAATGGTGTTGTAAAATACTGTATTCAACACCAATATCACAATATTGGGACTTTATTATTTTACTATTCCACTTCAATATTAAATGAAATGACATCTTTAACTAATTTTATAAATAAATTATTATTATTTCTCAAATTTCATAAATATCCTTTTAGTCAAACTCTATTTATGGTATTAAATTTTAATCATTAACTTGATTTTTCTATATAAAAATAAAACTGGCCCTCCAAAGTTTTTGGAAACTATATTTATGGTACTACTGTATATAGAAAAATTAAAGATGCCTTCCCCCAAAATTTTAAAATTTCTATTTATACATTAACTTATGGTTATTATTTATTAAAGGTGATTTGCAAATAAATTTACTTGTAACCCCTTAAAAGTCCAATCAACTTTTTATTTTTAAAAATTCAATTTAGTAAAATATTGTTAATTATTATTGTAATTCTTGATATATACATATATACGCAACCATATAAGAAAAATAGATTATAAGTGTTACAATAATAATTACTAATAGATAGGTTATTGTATAAATGAATTATTATTCAATGATCTAGTTTATAAATTGCTTAAATTTCCGAACAGTGTTTACCACTATTCGATCCCCTCCCTCAATTTTTAGGAGCTACAAAAAAAATTGTAATTGACATCTTCAATGAACAACACAATTGAAAAGATATGAAATTGAAAGATTATTAGACTTTTATCAACTACATAAAATGAATCTAATATTTTTAATCCAATAATATTTTCTTTACCTCTCCAGGCCGAGAGAATTTTAGTCTCTTGCTTTATTTGCCCGCAAAATATATATATATATATATATATTTCCAATAATTAATACAGTAATAATAAAAAAAAAAAGAAAAGAAAAGTAAGACAGCCCAAACTCAAATAACCAATTGCTTGCTCTTCCGAATTATTCTCTCTCTCTAACATTGCTTACTCACCCTCTAATACTCTTTTTTTTTTTTTTTTCTCTCTCTCTCTCTCTCTCTCTCTCAACATTGTTGCCCACTATACCTGCATCTCCATTCTCTCTCTCCTCTCTCCTCTCAATCTCTCTCACATGTCAGTCTTTGTGATGCTCGCAAATGGAATTCAACTAGCAAGACTCACAAATCACGCTTTCTTGAGATCTTTCTTGAAATACCCTCTTGGTAAATTCTCATACTCTTTCTCATTCTACAATCATACATGTATTTCTGTGCTTAAATCTGCTCTTCAACTCTCTCTGTCTCTCTCCCGCGCGTTCTCATTTCTCTCTCAATATTATTCAGGTTTTTGATACGCAATGGCGAACAGGAGAGGATCATCAGGTGCGGCGGTTCAGAGGAACAGATGCTGTGGATGTCAATATCCGTGGCCGATTTTTGCCTGCGTTTGCTTGTTCATGGTGACGATGGTCGTCTTAGGAGGACTCAAATCTAAAACTTCAATTGGTTAGTGTGTGTGTGTTTATATATTCATGTTCATGGGTTTGAGAACATCGGTGTGGATCTTACTCTGTTCATTTATGTCATTAGAATTTGGTATTCGGTTAATTTAGCTGGTTTAGTTTAGAAGAAGACTATTATATGTTTTATTAATATTGGGTTGGTTATGCCTTTCACTGGTTTTAACTTGTATAATTTCTTTGAATGCTACCACTGAGGGAATGTTTAATTGTTTGCGGTTTTATTCATGTTGTTTGCATTTAGGGTTTCAATAGCATATATTCGAATTTCTTGGAATCAAGATTTGTCTCTGGGAATCAAGCATGGAGTATGGAGATGGGTGATAGAAACTTCTTGAGAGAGCTATTTGGTTAATTTAGCTGATTTAGTTTAGAAGAAACGTGTTAAATGTTTTACTGGTACTGAGTTGTTTATGCCTTTCACTGATTTAAACTTATAAATTGTTCTCTGAATGCTACCACCAAGGGAATGTTTAATTTTTTGTGTTTTTATTCATGTTGTTTGTATTTAGGGCTTTAATAGCATCGAGTCGAATTTCTTGAAATCAAGATTAGTCTCTGAGAATTAAGCATGGAGATGGTTAATAGAAAATTCTTGAGAGAGCTTAGTTATCGTTTAATACAGATTTACCAGGGATGAAAAAAAGAATGTGGCTATAGGCAGTGGGAGAAGTCTTGATAACCTATAATTTGTCAGAAAATATGGTCCTAGACAGGGTAAAAAGGATTAGTGTAGCCCCAAGTAATAGAGATCGAAAAATTATAGTGTTATTAAGTGTGTTGAAAACGAAGCTATTTATACCTGACTACCTGAGGATGGGAGATCGATTTGCAAATTTTGGTGAGAGTTTTTGCAGTCAACATGTTACAATTGCATTGGGATATCAAGGGGATTGGGAATAACATTTCTCTGAAATTAATTGTTTGAAATTTAAAAGAAGAGGCTATGTCATTTTTTATGCGGGTTTACATATGGTAAATGAAATATATGATGGAAACATTTCTGATGCGAATGGTGATGGAGAAAAGCTTTAAATAGCTGGTTTAGGAGATCTGTTTTTTGAACTATGTCTATGTCACTAAATGGAAAAATTATAAATCTAAAATTATGTTGGGGAAGTGCAGTGGTGCAAAGTGCTATAAGTGACAATCCATCTAGTTCTAAGTTTTTTAAAATGAGTGAAAAGGGATAAAGAAATAGTGAAATGTTAAAGAAAAGATAATAATTATTGAGTTGAAGCATTTTGTATGATTACTTGCATAATAATTGGGTACAAGCAAGAGTGAGAAGATACTTTTCCAATATTGGTTCGAGTAAAAGGGATCCCTTAAATACTCCATATTTTATGTGTAAGTAAGGATTTTTTTGGGACCTTATCATGGTGTCTTGGTGGAAGATTATGATGTTTAGAAGCTTGTTCTGCCTAATATTACACGTGGATGAAGTATTCCTTAAGATTTTTTGGGACCTCATTTTATTGTTGCTCTAACAATTAATTTTTAATTTTGCCGGTGAAAGCTATAATATTTTTTGGTGAACATGGTAACATAAGTTCCCATGAGAATCCTTTTCAAAATTAATCTCGAGTCTAGAAGGAAAACAGGGTGGAGGTGTTGGTCGTGGAGGAAATATGAAAATTTAGCTAGTTGATATCGACATAAGAAATGGGATGGAATCATTTATTTACAAGGTTTAAAATGAGTACTATGCATGAGGCTTATTCTTTGCAGGAGATGATGTATAAATCATTAGTTTCATCGGGCTGCATTTTTATTTGAATGTAATTCTATCAGCTGCAAGACTTCTCATCCTTATATTGTCGAGTTTCTGGAGATGTGAAGAATGAGATTCCACACGTACCCTCACTTTTAAAGGGAAGACCAAATTCTTTTCGATATAGTTATTCTATGATTAATTTGGTGAATTACAAATTATCCCTTTGGTCCTTGGGGCATTTCGGGGGCTTGTTTCATTTATTATAAGTTTTTCAGTGAGCTTGAGTGTTATCCCTTTGATGGTTTAAAAAATTCAGTGTTCATAAAAAATTTCGTGATTTACTTGTTTTTTCATGAGATATTTTCTACGAAACGAATGTATAACCTTGTGCCATAATCTTCTCTGATGTCAACTTTTGCTCATCAGTTAATTCTTTAGAAAGGAGAAACCACTTCAGTATCTAATTTTTTATTTCTTAATGATCTCCCTTTCACTTTGCTTGGTATGTCTCTTCGTTACTATATATCGGGTACTCTCTCGTTTGCAGTTCTAGTACCTAGATATTATGATATACGTTTCTATCAATTGTCTGTCTCTTAGTTTTCTTCAGTTCCTCTCTTTGTTATTATATATCAGGTAGCGTTAAATTATTATTTTTTCTTCTGCTGCAGATGGAAATGATATAACTGATTCTAGTAAACAGGTAGACTTCTTTGCTGCTTATATACATTGGATTATAATTCCAGGCTGCTGTTATTATTTACTGAGAAAGAACTTTGAGCTGTGCAGGATGTAGAATGGAGAGAAAGGCTGGCATTGCAACATGTTAAGTCCCTCTTCTCAAAAGAGGCAAGTTTGTCTTGATAAAGATCTAGTTGTTTGAGTTTATCTAGTTATTGTGCTCCACCGTCCTCATATTTTTTCTAATTTCTGATAGTTTCTTACTTTTTGCTTTCTATCTAATACCTATCACACTAATTAAGCATATACTTTAGGTGATTGATGTCATCACGGCCAACACAGTTGATATGGGACCTCTGAGTCTTGATTTTCTCAGAAAAAACAATTTGTCTGCTTCATGGAAAATTGTTGGACAAGAAACTACTGTTGAGAATGATGCCACTTCTTCTGAGGTTAGGATGGTTATCAGGCTCTAATTTTGAATTTTCTCTTAATTATTTTTAGTACCTTTTGTTGATGCAAAAATTATGTCAGCTCAAAGTCATTGATTCTTGTTTTTGCTTGTGTAACTGTGCTTATAGGTGAACGAAACAATTGTAAATATCAAACAAGAAACTCCAAAAGTCAAAGAGAAAGATTCTTCAGGCGGTAATATCTTTCTTATGACATCAAACAAATATAAAACCACACACACATACACACACAAATATGAAAATGTTTTTATGTGTGTGTGGTTTTTTTTTTTTTTTTTTTTTTAACTGCTTTGCTTGCATATTTATATAAATTAAGTAGATGAATCTTTTATCCCTTGCAGATGATCGTTCTCAGTTTGTTGATACAGCTGATAGACTAGCACGAAGGGTAAATTCATAACGGATACATTATGTGCTTTATTTGTACATAATTCCTTTGCATTACTTTCAAATTATTATGTTCTGGAGCAATAATGAATTGCCAAATGGGAGAAAAGGAGATAAACATCTTCAAACTTATGTTTATTATCTGCATTGCATCCCCTTCTCTTTCAATTTCATTACCTTCAAAGGTTCTATTTTGATCTGTTTAAGCTTTTCTGCAGCAATTGAGAGAGAGAAGACGTGAAAAGCGCGCAGCTGACTTGGTGAAACAAGATGATGAAGTAAATGTAAAGCTTGAAAATGCAGCTATTCAGCGTTCCAAATCAGTTGACTCAGCAGTTCTGGGCAAATACAGTATATGGAGGAAAGAAAATGAGAATGAGAACTCTGATTCAACAGTACGCTTGATGAGAGATCAAATGATTATGGCAAGAGTGTATATAAGCATTGCAAATATGAAGAACAAGCATGACTTGGCTCAAGAACTACAGAGTCGCCTCAAAGAAAGTCAACGTGCTTTAGGGGAGGCAACTGCGGATACTGACCTACATAACAGGTACTGGGGAGTATAATGTCCTTGTGCATGAGTTATCGTTTGCATTTCTTCCTGTTCTATGTATTGATAGTTCTGGAACTTTCTATTTTGTTTCATCTAAAATGTGTTTACAGTGCACATGAGAAAATGAAAGCTATGGGCCAAGTGCTTTCAAAAGCTAGAGAGCAACTGTATGACTGCAAACTGGTCACTGGAAAGCTGAGAGCAATGCTTCAATCTGCAGATGAGCAAGTTAGGAGCCTGAAAAAGCAGAGCGCATTCCTGAGCCAGCTAGCAGCCAAGACAATTCCAAATGGAATCCACTGCTTATCCATGCGCTTAACGATAGAATATAACCTTCTTCCACCAGAGAAAAGAAAGTTCCCTAGAAGTGAAAATCTGGAAAATCCACATCTTTACCATTATGCCCTCTTCTCAGACAATGTCTTGGCTGCATCAGTCGTTGTCAACTCAACCATCGTTAATGCCAAGGTAGAAGACTCTACGTATATCATTCTGATATCTAAATTGCTAGGACTCTGCACTATATCATTCCAATGTCTGAAGCACTTCATTTTCTACATTTTAAATCTCTGTATTGACTTCCCTTAAAACATTTGTTAGTATTAACTTTTTTTGTATGAGGAAATTTTCCTCTTAGAACCTGAACTTCTTGGGCTTGTGACCCTCATCATTTTATGGTTTTTATGGCCTGAAAACTAAAAACCATCAACCATAAAAAAATTCGCATCATATATCATCATTGTCAAATATTCCTTGTCTTTTTATGATTGGGATTGGCCATATGAATTCTTTTTTTCCCCACTCTTTTCTATAACAAGTTTTCTCGCCAATATTATTTTTCTGTATAAAATCATTTCTAATGATTCATCCCACAGTGGTCATTCTTTCTGTCTTCCTACCTTTCATGCAAATTAGTCTTTCTTTTCTTCTCGGTGCATCTATAGGTCTTCTTTTTATATGTTCATACTAAGTCTATTTTCTCTTATTCTTTTACTAATTGGCTTACTCCTAATTTTATTTCACATGTTGATTGGTGACCCTATCTCGTCTGGTCACCCCTATAACCCATCTTAACATCCTCATTTATGCTACGTGAATTCATTATTCCATTTTTTTTTTTTTTTTTTAAAGCTCAACATTCTGCACAATATGAAATGGTTGCTTAGTAACAGTTTTCTAAAGTTTTCCTTTTAATTTATTCGTTATTCTTTCTATCGCATTAATCACCACTAGCTTATCTCCATTTTGTCCAACATGCTCCAATTTTACTAATTATATCACCATCTACCTTACTGATCCTAAGTATAAATAATGGTCACTTTAGATAATTATTTGGTTTTGAATGGTGATCACTATATTATCAATATCTGACTCTTTACTAAATTTATATCAAATATATGCATCTGAAAAGATATAGATGACAGATATTTTCTCCATTGACTCGCACCAAAGAAAATGCAAGAGATTTTACAAGAAGGCAGTTTAGAACTGTTATTTATCTTGTTCTTGTTCATATCAATATTCTTGAAAGTGGGTTCCACTTGTGATGGAACTTTTACCATCAAACATGTTCCATGTTTGTAGCGTCTAGCCACTTTTTTTTATTATTATTTAAATGTCTCTATTGTCTAGCCACGGTGGTTGAGTAGTCATAGCTCCAACTTGATGTTTACAGTACAAATTTTGCTTCTCTCCTTTCCTAGACTAAATATTCAACTTGATTGAATTTCAGGAGCCCGAGAAGCATGTATTCCATCTGGTTACTGATAAATTGAACTTTGGAGCCATGAACATGTGGTTTCTGTTGAACCCTCCTGGAAAAGCAACCATCCATGTTGAGAATGTCGATGAATTTAAGTGGCTTAATTCATCCTATTGCCCGGTTCTGCGGCAGCTAGAATCTGCTGCCATGAAGGAGTATTATTTCAAGGCAGATCATCCCACCACACTCTCTGCTGGCTCTTCTAATCTGAAGTACAGGAATCCGAAATATCTTTCGATGCTTAACCACCTCAGGTTTTATCTCCCACAGGTTTATCCTAAGTTGGATAAGATCCTTTTTCTTGACGATGACATTGTTGTCCAGAAAGACTTGACTGGATTGTGGTCAGTGAATCTCCATGGAAAGGTGAATGGTGCAGTGGAAACCTGTGGTGAAAGCTTTCACCGTTTTGACAAGTATCTGAACTTTTCAAATCCTCATATTGCAAGAAACTTTGATCCCAATGCATGTGGATGGGCATATGGAATGAACATTTTTGATCTTGAAGTGTGGAAAAAGAAGGATATTACAGGCATTTATCACAAGTGGCAGAATATGGTTAGTTGTTCAAATCCTCGCATCTCCTTTTATGTTCTCTGTTTTCTTGTTCCAAGTAGAAGTTAATGTGCATTAACACCTCAATAATTTATCTCCAGTAGCAGGTTAGTACTGAGGCGTTTTTTTAAACTAAAAATCAGTCACACCAGGGGTTTTTGGTATTACTACAACAGCACCCGGATTGCTGTAATTTTTTCAGAGAGAATAGGTTTTTTTTTTTTTTTTTTTTTTTTTTTTTTTTTTTAATTAAATCTTTAAATTTTTATTGAAAACAATTATAGGACCTCTGTCAACAGCCTTTTGTCTTGTGTGGTTGGTATGTGCCAATGAACTTTTTGCCACTGTGACCTCTGCAATTTAAAATGATACGACTAACAACAGATTGTATTCAATTTCCAAACATTCTGATTTTTTCCTTCTCTTGTTTTTGTGGTGGGGGATCAGAATGAAGATAGGGTACTGTGGAAGCTAGGGACTTTGCCTCCGGGACTGATTACATTTTATAAGCTGACACATCCACTCGAGAAGTCTTGGCATGTGCTTGGTCTGGGTTATAATCCAAGCGTTGATCGGTCAGAAATGGAGAAGGCAGCTGTTATACACTATAATGGGAACATGAAACCATGGCTAGAGTTGGCAATGACTAAGTACCGTTCGTACTGGATCAAGTATATTAAGTTTGATCACCCTTACATTCGAAGATGCAAACTGAGTGAGTGATAGAACAAATGAACAATAAGGTACTATCAAATGCTCTCCCTCTCATCCAATTGAACGGTTTGCTCGCTTTGATTAGTTTAGGACAAGGGATGGAAGTTTGCATGTTCCGTGCTGTATTTTCTTTTCGTATTTCCTACATTTTTTATTCTTCTGTATAATTCAATTTAGTTGTTTTTATCATTCCTTCTTCATACGCTGTTGACCTGCTACAGCTCCCTTTTTTCCTCAATTGATGTCGAGTTATGTTTCTCATTATTAGAGGATCTGAATGTGAATTGTGACAAATTCTTTGGATGATATATACCTTACACTTTACACAGTGTTTCAATATTCTTTGGATTTCCCTTGTTTTAATTAATAGTGTCAGTTGTTGGTACCAGAACCCTAAAAAATGGATAACATGAGTGACTACTTGAGAAGGGTAGATTGTTTAGAGATTGTTCTTGTCTTTGTTTGGCACTGAATAGGGAAAATGAATGAGAATGAAATATAATGCATGGTTGAGTTCTCTTTCCTTCTCTCTTCCTACCTTATGATTTCAAATGATTGGAGTCGGTTTTTAAGTTCTGAAATTCTACAGAATACAAAGAATGACATGTTTTGGAAGAATGACTCGGGATCATATATGTTCAATGAAATAGCCAACTGAAAAAATACAACAACATGTGAGAGACAAGCCTCGATCCAAAGAGAAGAATCAATCCATTCATTCATCCAGTGCAACAGGAGAAAGTAAAGGTTTACCAGAGAAGAAAGCTTCGAAATTCCCGACGATAAGTTCATATAAATCCAGAAAAGATTCATCCGTAAAAACAGCTCGGTGGGGAGTTAACACAACATTATCCATTGCAAAGAGCTCTTTCGGAACATGAGGCTCATTCTCAAACACATCCAAGCCAGCACCAGCAATCTTCCCTTCCACCAAAAACCGGACTAGTTCTTTCTCATCGATAACAGCCCCTCGTCCGATGTTAACAATGACTCCCTCCTCCCCCAATGCCAGTAAGACATCCTTGTTGATCATGTGATGTGTTTGATCAGTTAAAGCACAGCAAATGACAAGGATATCACAATTAGCTGCGAGTTCACACACATCAGGATAATAAGTGTAGGAAACAGATGGTTTCTTCCTCCTCGAATTGTATGAAATTATGCACCCAAAGGCCTCAACCCTCTTTGCAACTTCTGACCCAATATTTCCTAGTCCAACAATCCCAACTCGCTTGCCTCCCAACTGAAATAATGAGTCAACATAAATCCAAATTGAAAAAAAAAAAAAAAAAAAAAAAAAAAAAAGGGTATATATATATATCAGTCCCTCGCTAACCACTATAATAACTTGGTAACAATTATCTACTAATAATAGTACTTAATTTACTGCCAAAAAGTTAAATGAAATTGTATTTGGGAGTCCAAAATAGTAATTTAAACACACACACAATATGGAGAGAGAGAGAACCTTGGAACCAAGAGGGTAGTCTCCTTGGATCGGCCAAAGGCCACCGCGAACATACCGATTAGCGGCCGTGATTTTTCTGAGAACATCAATCAACAGTCCGAGCGCGACGTCGGCCACATCGGCCGAGTAGATGGTTCCGGTGTTGGCGATGGAGATTCCCCTGCGGCGGCACTCCGGCAAGTCGATCTGGTTGAGGCCGGCGCTGGTGGTGACGATGACCTTGAGAGACGGGAGGAGGCGGAGGACGTCGGATTGGACCGGAGTGCCGACGGAGCAGAGCATAGCTTGCACTGAACTGGCATGGGTTGCGAGGAATTGTTCAGTAGGCATCGGAGATTCCCATGCTTTCAGCAAATGGAACTTTTCCGAGAATTGTTTTCCGTAGTCACTGAAACCAATTGTTGGGCGAAGAACCAACACAACCTTCGGAAGCTCTTGTTCTTGTTGTTGTGTGTACGCCATGGTCGATCGATTTGGGTGCCGAGTAGTCACACAATTGTTGGAATTGAAAAACTTCAACTTCACATTTTGTTGAATTGAATTACATTCTTCCCTCTCTCTCTTTCTGTTTGTCTATTTCATACCAATTACTTTCGGTCAGATTCCTACACTATCTTTTTCCCCAAGCCAGGGTGCTAAAAACAACATCCTTTTTTTTTAAATTTTTTTTTAAGCGAATGACATCTATTTATTTTTCAATTTGAAAATGTAATTGATAAAAAAAATATTTTGAAAAATATAAAGTAGGCGAAGAAGATATTGGTTTCCAAACAATTTAACACCTTTGGCAATGGTAATGCTGAACAGATTTCTATCACATTAAGCACGATTGATAATGCAATTTAAGTATACTAAAAAAAAAAAAAATAATAAATAAATAAATAAATGCTTTAAGGGATATAGATATCACTTATCTAAGTTAAAATTTTAAAAAGCTATCAATTTATTTTATTTTATTTTATTTTTTTTTAATTACTACATAAAAACTTCAAATACTTAAAATTGAGCTCTTATAACTCTTATTACTTAATTTTTAGTTTTATGAGGCCATTATTTTCACGGAATTAAGAGAGAAAAAATTTGGGTTTGTTTAGAAAACATGAAGAGAAATATAATGATTTGGAGGGCTATAAAAGAGTCAACAACCTGAATTTCTTATCCTTTCAAATGTGGATCAAGAGCGAAGGTTCAAATGCGGATCAAGAGCGAAGGGTAGGAGAACTAGCCTTTGCCTAATACAGCTTTCTAAAAATAGTTGTCAAAATTTCAAAAAATACTTTTTTTTTTATTGCTTCCCAAAAATAATAAGAAAAATAATAATATTTTCATTGAAACAATAATCAAAACTCAACATATATATATATATATATATATATATATATATTGACAAATTACTCCCACAACATTCATTCTTGGGGAGATTGGAATCCTCTAAGGTCTCTTAAAAAAAAGTGAGAATTATTTGCCAAAAAAAAAAAAAAAAAAATGTTTACATTTCTTATCACAACCTTGTTTTCTTAACAGAAGCATGTACTGGTTCCCCAAGCCAGAAAATGCTACTGCGTATTAGGGATGTTACGAGAACCTCTCAAGTCTCTTAAAATAGCATTATAAGAGTATTTAGTGACCCCATAATGTCAGTATTTGTATATAACTTAAACACAGTAAAGTTTTTTTAACCATTATTAATCTAAGAGCTGTCAAACAATATGCTGTTTTTGTTTACAAGTCTCAATGGTTTCTGAGGCAATAAAAAAGAGAGTTTATGTGACTTTGGCCGGGAAAATTCTAGAATACCCTGGGGTACCTTACCCCCTGGTGTGGGGCCCATCTAAATGGATGATCAAACGGCTGGATATTCCTAGGGTATTGTAGAACTTCTCTAATGTTCATTTACATGGTTCTCTTTATGCCAGAAGACATAACTGCCACCATGTAAAGAATGACATGTTTTGGACGAGTTGACTCAGGATCATATATGTTCAATGAAATAGCCAACTGAAAAAATACAACAACAGCAGCATGTGAGAGACAAATTAACCTCGATCCAAAGGTTTAGAATCAATCCATTCATTCATCCAGTACAACAGGAGAAAGTAAAGGTTTACCATAGAAGAAATTAAGCTTCGAAATTCCCTACGATAAGTTCAAATAAGTACACATATTTCCTACTACAGAACGTAAAGAATGACATGCTTTGGAAGAATTGACTCAGGATCATATATGTTCAATGAAATAGCCAACTGAAAAAATACAACAACAACAACACGTGAGAGACAAATTAACCCCGATCCAAAGAGAAGAATCAATCCATTCATTCATCCAGTACAATAGGAGAAGGTAAAGGTTTACCAGAGAAGAAAGCTTCAAAATTCCCGACGATAAGTTCATATAAATTCAGAAAAACTTCATCCGTAAAGACAGATCGATGGGGTGTTAACACAACATTATCCATTGCAAGGAGCTCTTTAGGAACATTGGGCTCATTCTCAAACACATCCAAGCCAGCACCACCAATCTTCCCTTCAACCAAACACCGAACGAGTTCTTTCTCATCGATGACAGCCCCTCGTCCGATGTTAACAATGACTCCCTCCTCCCCCAATGCCAGTAAGACTTCCTTGTTGATCATGTGACGTGTTTGGTCAGTTAACGCACAGCAAATGACAAGGATATCACAATTAGTTGCGAGTTCACACACATCAGGAAAAAAAGGGAAGGACACAGATGGTTTCTTCTTCCTTGAATTGTATGAGATTATGCAGCCAAAGGCCTCAAGCCTCTTTGCAACTTCTATGCCAATGTTTCCCAGTCCAACAATCCCAACTCGCTTGCCTCCCAACTGAAATCATGAATCACCATCACTCAAATCAAATTTGGGAAAAAAATAAATAAAATTACCAGTCCCTCATTAACCACTATGGTAACAATTATCTACAAATAATACTTGATTTACAGCCAAAATTTATAATGAAATAGTATTTAGAAGTATTACCAAAGGCTTTAGCATAGTGTTGCTTCCTCAACTTAAATTCTAAGGTAGAAAGTTGAAGTTTCAAAGTTCTCATAGGGACAAGTGAGTGTTTGAGTGTATTTTTTGTCAAGAAAAAAACAGAGTAAATTTCACTTTGTTCCCGAGATTGGTCGATATCTCACATACTCTCCTTGGTTTCACAATCCCACTTACCTCCCATAACGTTGTGATTTATGTAACAGATTCTCTCTTACCGTGAGGGCACCCAGTGGAGACAAACAAAATTTGTGGATTTTAGAAGCACAAATTTAGTTTTACCTCCTAATGACTGAAAACATTTCACGGGTAAAATGATAAAATAACACAATATGGTTATCAAGTCAAAATAGTAATTTGTCCATACACAAATAATATCAAAATTTAATGTGTTGCGTTTAATATCCAAAAATTTGATACTACCTAGTATTTATTCCCTATATTCCAAAACTCATCTCTCTTTCTATTTCTGGTTGTCCTAAAGTTTGTCTTGAAAAAATCAAGTAAAACAATTATTATATATATACTGCAAATAGATGACAACAGTTTTAGTAAGTAAATACCACTGGAACATCTCTCGAACAAATTTAAAACACACTAAATCTAGAGACAAAGAGCTAAATGTCCACAGTTTTAAAGAAGTCCTAATTAGAGATCAAAAACAACTTCTTTCAAGAATCATAATTCATCGATATATATGTGTGTGACTGTGTGTACTATATAGTACATATAGTGTATAGAGAGAGGGGACCTTAGAACCAAGAGGGTAGTCTCCTTGGATCGGCCAAAGCCCACCACGAACATACCGATCACTGGCCGTGATTTTTCTGAGAACATCAATCAACAGTCCGACCGCTACATCGGCCACATCGGCCGAGTAGATGGTTCCAGTGTTGACGATGGAGATTCCCCTGCGGCGGCACTCCGGCAAGTCGATGTGGTTGAGGCCGGCGCTGGTGGTGACGATGACCTTGAGAGACGGGAGGAGGCTGAGGACGTCGGCGGGGACGGGAGTGAGGCCGGAGGTGAGCATGGCTTGCACTGAACTGGCATGGGTTGCGAGGAATTGGTCAGTGGGCATCGGAGATTCCCATGCTTTCAACAATTGGAACTTTTCCGATAATTCTTTTCCATAGACATTGAAAACCCTTGGTTGTGGACTAAGAACCACCACCTTTTGAAGCTCTTTGGGCACTTGTTCTGTGTCCGCCATGGTCGATTTGGGTGCTGAGAAGTGAGTATCAGTAAGTAGTGGATTTGGGTGTATTTCATACCAATTATTTTCTGCAAGGAGGTCAGATTCTGACACTACTTATTCCCAAGAGTGGGTCCCTACAACTTCATCATCAAAAAAAAAAAAAAAAAAAAAAATCTTAATATGTAAGAACAAATTTTTTGAGTTAACAAAGATGAACCTTTTTCCTTTTTTCTCTTTTTTTTTTTTACTTAGCAATAAGAAAAACAGTCACATGACATCAACAAATACATTCATAAATGATCGTACAAAGGCAACAAAGTCCAACAAAAAAAAAAAAAGGCAAACAAATCATGAAGCGATAAAATAAAAATAAATAAAAAGCTTTAGATTTATTGAGAAACAAGCCACTGCTCAATAACAGAAACCACTAAAGAAGAAGAGCAATAACGGGAATAACTCACAAGTCAGATTATCATCAAGGCAATAGTTCCAAGGCTACATCCATAAGGCGCATCCGACAAGGAAAAAAACACTTAAATCCCACACAAAACAAAATCAAGGCGGGAACAACAAAAATCGACATAGATAAGAGAATCTAGCCGGAAAGAAAACAACATATTCATCCAGTCGAGCCGAAAACAGCCAAAACAGAAATAGATCTAGCAAAACAAAAACAAAAGCGACGTAAAAATCATCCACAGAGCGAACTTATTATTACACGTTGAATTTATTTAGCCTGTAAGAGGCAAGAAATGTCACCTCCTTACACCCATGGAAGGGAGTGGGGAAAAAAACAAATGGGGGAGATGGAAGGGGAAGGCGGGTAGAGCGAGACGGAAGAAAAAGTAGAGAGAGAGAGAGAACACACTGATGTAACAAAGATTAACCTTCGCTAAGGTCGTTTCCAGTTAAAAAAAGAGAGTCAGGACACATTTAATATCTACGTGTGATTTGCAAAATAGATTAATAAACATCACATCAGCAAGACGCTCTGTTTTCATGGAATTGAAAAAAAAAAAAAAAAGGGGTTTGTTTTGAAAAAATGGAGTTATTTGCCCTAAAATATATATATATATATATATATTTGGAATTCTGCAAGTCTCTTCGAGAAAAGTGGGAGTTATTTGCCAAAAAAATAAATTAATAAAAGCAAAAAAATGAACATTTCTTATTACCAACTTTCTTTTCCCAGCAGAAGTATTTTCTGGTTTTAACTTTTTAACACTAGGAAATGCTATTAGGGATATTTTAGAACCCTCTCAAGTCTCTTGAAAAAGCATTGTGAGAATCTCTAGTCTCTTAAAAAAGCATTGTGAGAATATTTAGGCTTGCGTTGTTTGTAATTATGAAAACAGTTTTGTTCTGTTTTTTGTTCTTAGAAAACTGAAAACAACATAAAAATTAGGGTAAAGTGCAAAAAACCCTCCTGAACTATTATGATTTTGCAAAAAATCCCCCTGAACTTTAAGAAACCCCCCCGAACTATTATTTTGTTGCATTTTTCCCCATTCCGGCAATTGGGTTGATCGGAAAAATCAAAAGACAGATATACCCTTACTAAAACGACGTAGTTTTTGAAATATTGAACTTAACTAATTTAAAGACGCATTTACCCTCACTAAAACGACATAGTTTTGGTAGTTTCTTAGCTAAATAATTGAGGTGGCAAATTGTAATCTCCGAAACCAATAGGAAATCGACACATGTATCACAGAGTCCCACAAGCCCTCGTCGTCATCATCATCAAGGCCATCAGATGTTTCAGCGACAACGTCCTTTCACCACGGCACCAACTGCATCTTCCGAGCCGGTTCCATCGCCGCGATCAACACCAATGACCCGGATCACCAAACTGGAACTCACCCACTCGCTCTGGACTCACCACAGCACCAACTGCCTCTTCCAAGCCGGTTCCGCCGCCGCTATCAACACCAATGATCCGAGTCTCCAAACTAGAACTTGACCACTCGCTCCGGCTCACCACGATGCGTTTCAGGAGGGGGACGATAAAGGTAATACCAGAATTTCACTCACGAAGGACCTGATCAGAGTGAGCACATCAAGATTCTGTCGCCACGAGTTTTGCCGTTGAGTCAACTCATTCACTTTATGTACTCGAAGATGGTTGTTGTGTTGAGTCGGGGCGAGTTGAAGCTGCTAGTGTCGGATTTTACGACGGCGTTTAAGCAATTTGCTGCACACGGGCAGAAAGGATGTGATTGAGCAGGAGGAGCGACAATTAGGTGACGAGTTGACTAAGCCGGCTCGGATTAGTGTGCACCGATTCAGGAACACGTCGTGCAGAGATGATTCGTGCACCGCTTCGATTTCTTGAGTTTCAAAACAAAGACAGAGAGAGGGAGAGGAGACCACAACAAACCGAGACTGATAGAGATGATTTGTGCCCACGAACGGATATTGAGCGTGATTGAGGTGTTTTTAGGTGTTTACATGGATTTTTTTTAAATCAGTGCGTTATGAAGAAGATGATGAACAGTTATATATATATATATATATATATATATATATGTCTCTATGTGTTTTGATATAATGGTGTGTTTGCAGTTTGGGTGTTTAAGAGGATTTTTTATTTATTTTTTAATTAGTGCTGTGAAGAAGATGGTGAACAGTGAAAAATATTTAATTGTGACTCTACCGGATTGCCAACTAGAGCAAGAGAGATAAATAGACGATGACGACTCCGTCGGATTACCAACGCGTCGGCGAGCTTGATTTTGTCATTGAACTTTGCTAAATCCCAATTTCTTGTTTTGGTAATATATTGGGTTTTTTAAAATTTAATTCCTAGGTGTCATATGATTAAAATTCTCATCTTGATTTTCTGTAGAATTTCTCAGAAACCAATTGGAGCATTACCCTACGCTCCACAGTTCTCCTTCCTAGGTTTGGCCATAGAGAATTTTGTGATGGATTTGCTTGGTGATTGTGAAAAAATATTCATGGGGTTTTGCGATTGGGTACGTTTTCGATTGGATTTTGCAAATCAATTCTTGTGATTGGGTTTGGTAAGGGGTTGAGAATTTTGCGATTTGGTTTGCTTGTGATTGGGGTTGAGAATTATGCCGCCTGTATCACCAATTCCCGAAATTGGAACTGCCACAGTGGAGCCACGGAGGCCGGTGGTGCTCGTGGATTCGCAGAAGAGAGGATTCCTACTTGTCCACAGCTTGATTGCCTGCGCCGAGGTAGTCCAAGAAGACAATCTCAAGCTCGCCGACGCGCTGGTGAAGCACACAGGGTTGTTAGCGATGTCGCAAGCCGCTGCGATGAGAAAGCTCGCGAGCTACTTAGCTCAAGCCTAGCTCAAAGAATTTACAAAATTTACCCTCATCGTAGCATCAGTGCCTTCGCCCGAATCGCATCATCATTCTGGATCCTTAGTTTCTCATCACCAAGCATAATGATACATGGTTTACGTATGAACAAAAAGGGTGTTATAGTCTTTTAACTATCATAAGGGCTTTTTGTCATTTAATGAAAAGAAATCCATCATGTGACATGTAGGGGTTTAAAATTTAATCTCCGATCGCCGGATTGGGTAAATTTTAACCAATAAGATAGTTTCAGGGGATTTTCTGTTAATTTAGAAATTCAAGGGGGTTTTGTGCTCATTTGGGTATAATTGAGGGGGGTTTATTGCACTTTATTCTAAAAATTATGCTTGTTTAATTTTCTGAAAACTGTTTTTTGAAAATTTAATTATAAAAATGTCTATTTTCAGATAACAATAATCTTCTAAAAATTGATCTTTCTTTTTTGAATTTCTAAGAACTGTTTTCAGAATTACAAACTAAACATTTATTTTCTTTCTTTTCTTTTTTGAGTTAAGAGGCAATTTTAAGTACCAAGTTTTTTTCATTTTTTAAGTAGTAAGCTAGTGACCCCACAATGCCACATATATGGCATGTTTGGAATGTTTTATGATATTGTTTTTCTAATATTGGTTTCAAATTTGTCCCATATCATGTTTGAAACGGTTTATGTTGGTTTGGAATAATTTGTAACATACAAATTGGTGATATTGCGTGTTTTGGTACTGTAGCAAAGGAACTAAAGCAAATTTTCGAATTTCCCAAAACAAATTTTCATTACTAAACATGATTTCGATTTCTACCCAAACCACTCCCTTGCAACAAAAAAAAACATATTGCATGCCAAAATGCCCATAACTTCAACTCAGAAGAGTGTTTTTAAGCAGAGAGCTGTCAAACAATAGGCTGTTTTGTGCTCTGTTTTGTTTACAAACCTCAGTTGTTTCTACTGCAATAAAAGAGAGAATTTATGTGACATTGCCCTGCAACAATAAAAATGTTTATTTACATATATGGTTCTCTCCATGCCATAAGAAGACATAACTTCCACCAGATGGTTATGATGCACATATTTCATACTACAAAGTGCAAAGAGTAACATGTTTTGGAAGAATGACTCATGATCATAGATGTTCAATGAGATAGCCAACTGAAACAAGAAAGGGTCTTGGTTAAAATACTACTACTACAACAACAACATGTGAGAGACAAACCTCGATCCAAAGAGAAGAATCAAAACATTCATTCATCCACAACAGGAAAAAGTAAAGGTTCATTAGAGAAGAAAGCTTCCAAATTCCCCAATACGAGTTTGTATAAATCCAGATAACCTTCTTCCGTATAGACAGCTCGATGGGGTGTTAACACAACATTATCCATTGCAAAGAGCTCTTTGGGAACATCGGGTTCATTCTCAAACACATCCAAGCCAGCACCAGCAATCTTCCCTTCAACCAAACACCGGACGAGTTCTTTCTCATCAATGACAGCCCCTCGTCCGATGTTAACAATGATTCCCTCCTCTCCTAATGCCAATAACACTTCCTTGTTAATCATGTGATGTGTTTGGTCGGTTATTGCACAGCAAATGACAAGGATATCGCAATTAGCTGCCAGTTCACAGACACAAGGATAAAAAGGGAAGGCAACAGATGGTTTCTTCTTCCTTGAATTGTATGAGATTATGCAGCCAAAGGCCTCCAGCCTTTTTGCAACTTCTAAGCCAATGTTTCCGAGTCCAACAATCCCAACTCGCTTGCCTCCCAACTGAAATCATGAATCACCATCGCTCAAATCAAATTACTATTATATATATATATATATATATATATATATATATCAGCTCCTCATTAACCGCTAATGTAACTTGGTAACATTAACAATTACGTACCAATAATACTTAATTTACTCCAAAATGTTAAATGAAATGGTAAACTTTTCTATTTTTATTTTTTGTCCACGATGGGGATGTTGGGTATTTTAGAGCACTCTATAATACATCACTAGACACATGCAGTCTTCCTATTTCACATTTACCGAGTAATTACCGAAAAGAATTAAAAGTATTTAGAAGTCCAAAATAGTAATTTAAACTCAATATCATAACTTCTGGCAGATTCTTTTGAACTCAAGGGATGAGAAGATATTAAGTACACACCATCCATACCATTGTCATTGGTATGCCCATCTAATAAAACGTACCTTATTGTATTGATCAGCTTCATGTTTGCATTTTTTATACATAAGCAGAACAAATTTCATAAACTAATATGTTGTTTGACATAACATGCTATGTATGGTGCATCCAATGCCACTAAGGTATGGCTTAATGTCCCAAAATTTGATAGTGTTACTCCTTATTCCAAAACTCTCATCTCTCTTACTATTTCTTGTTGTCCTAAAATTTTCTTGAAAAAGTAGATGTCAAACCATTAATATACATACCATAAATATTTAGTAACAATTTAAGTATGGAGGAAGTATATATAATTGTAACTTAATGATAGTGTGGAGCCCGATAAATATTATACACTAAAGTCAAACTCCACCGATCCAACTTATATATATCAAATTTTTTGCGAGTGTATATAGTGAAATCCCTACAACCATAGCCATAATTTTTCAGTGAACCAAATAAAAATTTGTGTATTCTTATTGCGTGTATTTGTTCAATTTTTTATTTATTTTTGTTTAATTTCGCAACTAGAACAAATTTCTAACACAAATTAAACTAATTTAGCAAGAGCTCAATCTCCACAATTTTTAGAAAGCCATATAAACAACCCTGAAAAAAAATTAATAATAATCATTTCGGTCCGTCCAACTCTGAAATGCTGACAAAAAATAACTCCACCATTGAACAATTCGACTTAGAATGGTAGAGCTAAGTATTATTTTTCATAAAAATAATAATAAAAAAAAAAGCACTTTCAAAAATCGTAATTCATACGAACATACCTTGGAACCAAGAGGATAGTCTCCTTTGATCGGCCAAAGTCCACCACGAACATACCGATCACCGGCCGTGATTTTTCTCAGAACATCAATCAACAGTCCAACTGCTATGTCGGCCACATCGGCCGAGTATAGAGTTCCTGTGTTGGCGATGGTGATCCCCCGGCGGTGGCACTCCGGCAAGTCGATGTGGTTGAGGCCGGCGCTGGTGGTGACGATGACCCCGAGAGACGGGAGGAGGCTGAGGACATCGGCGTGGATCGGAGTTCGGCCGGAGCAGAGTATGGCTTGCACTGAGCTGGCATGGGTTGCGATGAATTGGTGAGTGGGCATTGGAGATTCCCATGCGTTCAACAATTGGAACTTTTCTGATAATTGTTTTCCATAAGCTTTTAATACATTTGGTGGGCCAAGAACCAACACCTCCTTGGGCACTCGATCTTCTTGTGATTGCTGTGTGTACGCCATGATCGATTTGGGTGCTGAGAAGTGAGAATGTTCAATTGTTGGAATTGAAAATATCAACTTCGCTTATTTGAATGGAATTAGATATTTGCTTTTTTGGAAGCAGCAGCCCCTTGACTAACCAAGCTACAAATCCAGCGTGCTACAATAGGCCCCACACAACAATTACATTAGTTAGGCTAAAGTGCAAAAAAAATCGCCCTCAACTATGACTATGAGGATTTTGCAAACAACCTCCTCTCCTACGTCTCCCTTCAATTATTAACAAAAAAAAAAAAAAATTATCAATTTTGAATGCATGTGCACGTGTAACCTGTGCAGAACAATGGGACCCATGTGGGTTTCAATGCATGTGCACATGCAACCTGTTCGGTTTGGTATTTTGAATTGTCTAAGTACTATTTTTCTTATTTATATACTTCGTAATATGATGCTTTTACAGTTAAGTTAGTTGATCTTATTTAGATATGTTGTTTAATTATTAGGTTAGTGCAGTAACTAAGTTTTTAACAAAAAATAATGTTGAGTGGTATCTTCTTTTAATTTTAATTTTAGACAATGGGATTAAAACCCTTGTAATTCAATTTACAATTGCCAAAAGTTATCCTCTCATTTATGGGAATGAATGTAAAGCCCTTGTAATTCAATTTACAGTTGTATGAATATAGTTAAGTGTAGAAAGTATCTCTAAAATATATTTACAATGCGTATCACACTTTTTACGTACAAAAAATATACCTAAAGTTTTAATTTGGTACAAATAAATCCTCTGAAAATTTTAAATCTTAAATTGACTAAATTACCCTTACTAAACCATTTTATAAAATATATAGAAATAAGTAATTTTATAAAATGATCGAAAATGATACTATTAGAGAACATCCCTCATAGGCTAAAAACACCTATAAAGTTTCAATTTGATACAAATAGGCCCCTCTGATAAATTTAAATTCTAAGTTAACTAAATTACCCTTATTGAACCATTTTATAAAAATAAATAAATTTATAAAATGACTAAAAATGATACTATTGGAGGACACCAGCAATGGACAAATAAAGATAAAAATAAAAAATAAAAATAAAGATACAAATATAAAATAAAGAACAAAAATAAAGTAAAAACTAAAGAAAACAAATCTAATCCAAACGCTAAAAACCAGTGCGCACTGATAACTCTGAAAACCAGTGCACACTGATAACTTTGAAAACTAGTGTAAACTAATATTGGGATTTTTTTTTTTTTTAAACAGTGATTGTACGAAAAAATAAAATAAAATAATTTTTTTTTAGTAAAGCACAGTAAATTGAAATCTAACAAATTTAAATCTTTATTCTACAAATTTAGTAATGTGCACATAATACCCTTATATTATGAGATTAGTAACATATTTTTTTCTAGTTGGCACTCACACACTTATGAGATTAGTAACATATTTTTTTCTAATTGGTACTCACACACATTTATCTCTTCTTAAACTTGAATTTCTGACATTCCTTTAGAAAATAAGAGACTGATACCGTTAGGTTATTGACCCGTTGATGAGATTAATAATATATATATATTTTTAGATATTTTTCAAAAGTAAAAAGATAAAATAAATATTACATCTATATATTATCAAACACTAATTTATATTAAAAAGACATTTCCACACAAGGTAGAAAAATTAAGAATATTTTTTGCACGCTTTATTTAAAGGGAAAATTACATATAAATGGAATCAAAGTTCCATATTTACTTAGAGGCTGAGTCAAAGTTCCATATTTCTCTAAAATGGATTGCTGAGGTGGCACATGGTTTTTTACTGTTTAGAAATTGTGGTGCCTAAAATACCCTTCCGCGAAGGTACTACTTTTTCTTCGAAGGTACTACTTTTTTGAACTGAAGGTACTACTTTTTGGTGTCCAGGTACCATGTTTTTTAAACACCCGCGAAGGTACTACTTTTTCTCCAAAGGTACTACTTTTTTAAACTGAAGGTACTACTTTTTTGAAATGAAGGTACTACTTTTTTGTTAGGGAAGGGCATTTTAGGCACCACACTTTTCTAAACAGTAAAAAACCATGTGCCACCTCAGCAATCCATTTTAGAGAAATATAAAACTTTGACTCAGTCTCTAAGTAAATATGGAACTTTAACTCCATTTATATGTAATTTTTCCTTATTTAAACGTAGTAAAAGTGATCCGGCTGTTTGCTGCACTTGCCTTAGCTTTATATAACTTTATTCATGTGGTGTTGGACGGGGGGGGTCTGTTCTAAGACATGACAGGACTAGTTTAATGCTATGAATGGTTGTGATTTGACTTTTGGCCGGTATCAGGATGAGAAGGACAAAATAGTCTTCTCATTTGGAAATAACGTGAGAAATTCAAGTGGACATTTGTGTATGTGTAAAAATTTACTTAATTATAAAAGATAAAACACTATTAGAGGATCGGGTTTATGAATTGAATTATTTATTAATAATAAATCAGATATGAATTTACTCATATGTAATCCACCATATTATCTTATTAAATCTGAAATTATGATTCAATCGGAATCTAATCCATTTATAGACTTAGTTGACAGAAGGAGAAAGTAATAAAAAAATTAGCTGCCCTAGACTTTGTTATAATTGAATTAGTGTCCATGCCCTAAAAGAGGAGTGTAGAATATGGGAGCAAGCGCATAAACACATTATTATTATTATTATTATTATTATTATTATTATTTTCATTTGAAAAGTACAAAGGTCAAGCCAAAGTGACCGTATAAAAACATAAATCAAGTCATACAAACCATGAAGTAAAACAATAAAATGAAGAACAGGTTTCAGATTTGTTGAGAAAAAGCCATCGCTTTAGAACGGAAACCATTAAGAGAGAATAGTAGTAATTGGAGTGACCAAATGTCAGGCCATCATCAAGATAATAGTTCCAAAACTACATCCACAAGGCGCCTCCACACATCCAACCCGGCACAAGATCAAATCAAGCCAAGGAAAACAAAAATAGACCTAGATCAGAGATCTAGCCGAAGGGAAAACAACAGATTCACCATGTCGAGCCGGAAACAAACTAAACAAAAGCAGATCTAGCCACCTAAAAATAAAAAACGACGTGAAAAAACTACCCACAGGTCGAACTTATTGAGACACGCCCAGGTTATTAACCTGTGGGAGGCAAGCAAAAGTCACCTCCCCACTCCCATGGAAGGGAGTAGGGAGCAAATCGGAAGGGTAGGAGTGGCTGTGAGAGAGAGAAAGGGAAGAGAGAGAACAGAGGAAAAGTTAGAAGCGCGCAGAAAACACATTTAAAATATGTTTACCATGCATATCACATCTTTTATATGCAAAAAACTCTTCTAAAGTTTTAATTTGGCTCAAATAGGTCCCTCTAACAAATTTAAACCTTAAGTTGATTAAATTACCTTTACTGAATCATTTTATAAAATATATAAAAATAAATAATTTCGTAAAATAATAATAATAAATGACACTATAGAAGGATACCCATTTCGTGCAAAAAATACCTCTAAAGTTTCAATCTGGTACAAATATGTCCCTCTAATAAATTTAAACCATAATTTGACAAATTATCCTTACTGAACCATTTTATAAAATATATAAAAATAAATAATTTTATAAAATGACCAAAAATGACACTATTTGAGGACGCCGACAATGGACAAGTAAAGATAAAAATATAAAATATAAATATAAATATAAATACACGTTGTACAAACAAATTTTGTTGTCTGCAAATAAGAACAAAATATGGAGCAAATAATAATATTTTATTAATTTGTAAAATTGGAGTACAATCCTCTGTAATAATATTCTTTACAAAGAATAAGGTCTTCTGATTCGATCTCCTTTTTTGTTGGTTGGATCCAAGGGCTGCACGAGCTTAATCTTGAATCACCGTAGAAGTTGATGAAGAACGGCACGATTTGATGTGCTTGTTGTTGATCACCTTGGAATTTGATTAAGAACGACACGATTTGATGTGCTTGTTGTTGATCAACGTGGATTTGATGAAGAATGGCACGATTTGATGTGCTTGGTGTTTTTCGCTTTTGAGCAGAGCTTCTGTATTTCTCTTTGAAATTCTGGATTTCTGAATTGTGAATACCCTCTGGATTTATGGACTCTAAATTTTTAGACCTTCTGGATTTCCGAGTCTCTGAATTTCTGGACTCTAAATTTGTGTACCCCTTCCTTTTTCCTCCAGGCCTCTATTTATAGGTTTCTTAGATCTATAGGATGATGACACGTGTCATCGCTTGATAAGGATAAAATCATAACTGGGCCGGACCGAATATATTATGATAATTTTCCTTAAAGACAATTATTCCAAATATATTTTATTAGGAATAATTATCTTTTTCTGTTTAAGGGCATGGAAATAATGGTTGTTTCCATGGGATGAGTGATAGGAGGCTTAACTGCAGGTTTTGGAGATTGAGTTAGAGAGAGCTCAATCTTGTCAAGTTGGTTACCAATGGTGCGTAAGTATTGGTTGGTGTAATTATTTTGTTTAATTATTTTCCTGGTATTGGAATCAGCTGAAGTACTGGTTTTTAAAGGAGAAGCAGTGATTTCAGTTCCCTTGTGATCAATAAGCACGTTTTCTAAAGGAGGATGGGAAGAAGAAACTGTAGTTGTATCAAAAGTTTTCCAATTAACTTTGGTAAGGACATTGACTTGGTTATAACAGTTTTCTAGATAATCAAAAATTTTGATTTCCAGTTGATGCTCTGTCATAAATCTTTGCCAATGGCGGAAGACTCGTTGTTGCTCTTTTTTAGTATGATTTTTGCGAAAGGATTTTCGCTTTTCTTTGTTACTGGGGGACGAGTATTCATCATATAATTTTGAAAGATTATACTTAAAAGGTTTACTAATGGTAGTTAACTGAGGGTTGATTGTGTTGAATTCTCCAATGAGATCAGAAGGAGTATGAGAGGTAGGTTCAGATTTATGTTTAGGAGGTATATAACATGGGTGAACAACTTGTTCTTCGATTTGAATTCCTTTTAACTTGGTGTCTTGTGGGTGTGGACGGAATCTAGAATTTTTTCTTTCTAGAGAAGGAATTTCACTTTCTCTATCCAGTAGATGTGCATCAGATCTATTGGAAGAGGTAGAGGGACGAGACCGAGTTAGAAGGTGTTGTTCATCAAAGCTTAT